AGTTAAGTTAATCTTTACTAAATCTATATTATAAGCCTCTAAAATAAAGACTTTTTTTAGAAGTACTTATTTCCCGGTTTTATACTAGAATTAGAATTCGAATTCTCTAAATACTTTACTAGAATAGTATACTCTAGTAAAATAGAAACTAAGCCCGGCTTAATTCTAGAAAGAGCTATCTTAGTTTCTTTATTATATAAAACTGGATAGTATCTAATATAGTAGCCGAACTTATTATAATTAAAGTACTTAATAATTAAGAAATTCTCGGTTTTTATAGAATATTACTTATATTTATAAAGGGATATATACTTAATAAAAGCAATTAATATAGGCTTCTTAGACTTCTTCTTAGAAGTATATTTCTTAGAAATATATAAAGATATAGTACTAGAAGTAAACTTGACTAGAATAGCTTCTGCTTTTTTATATTCTTTAGTTTTCTTATATATAGCCTTAATTTACTAATTATTAGTAGTATAGTACTAAGTAAAGCAAGTAGTATTAATAGAAGAATTATTATAGTATATATATACTAACTTCTAGAGCTTTAGTAAGAGCTTCTTATTTAGTTTATTTTAATATCTTAAAGACTAATACTGCCTTCTATAAATAGTTATAAGAAGAAAATATAAAACTCCTAAAATACTTAACTAAAGTATATTTAAAGCTTACTAAAGTTATAGTAAGTATTCTATATTTTATTAGAATTAGAGTATAGCTTCTTTAGATAGAAGTAGAACTCTGAGAACTAATAGTACTAATTCGGACTATCTTTATTTATATAAGAATTAGTTAGAACGAGAGTATTACTAGTAAGTTTACTAGAAATATAGATAATCTTGAGATTCTCTAAGAAATATAAATTAGTATTTCCTTATAGCTTATTCTTAATCTAAACTAGCCAGTTATTAAAAATAATATAATCTCTAGTAAAGAGAATTAGATCTGGGAGCTTAGTAACTCTAGTATTTCTAAAGAAAGTATAAGATATAGGAGATTCTAGACAGAAATAAGCAGAAGATAGTTCGGAATTCTTTTGAGAGAAGTTTGAAGTAGCTAGAGCGGCCGGAGCAGGCAGAGCAGAAGTAGTTAGAGCTACTATAAGCCGATTTACTATAGCTATATAGTATTTGACTTTATTCTCGAGCTTAGTATTATAGAGCTTAGTATTCTCGAGAATAGCTTTATTATAACTATAGGCATTCTTATACGAAATAGCTTTTTAGATATTCTTCCGGTAGCTCTTTATAATAATATTAATATCTGAGAGTAAGGTATTAGGTTTCTTGGCCTATTTATATAACTCTCTGGTAGTAATATAATTATTGGTTTTTAGGAGCTTTATAATAAAAGCAGAGGGTTCTATTTCTATAGACTTGTTTATAAACTCTCCAGAAATACTAATGAAATATTTGGTTCGGGAAAGGCTACTAATAGGACGACCTGAACTAGCAGGAGCTTTACTAGAAGCTTTAGCGGAAGTTAATATAGTTCCTGGTTATATAGTATCCTGGAAAATTGACCTATTATACTTTTCCTCTACTATATTTCCCCTAGCAGTCTTATTACTAGCATATATATAGGGTTTATAAGGTTATAGAATAGGGCTTAAAGGCAATAGTCAGGTTACTGGCCTATATATACCTATTACTCTAGGACTTGATTAAAGAATAGCCTTTATTTAAGGTTTTTTAATTTTCGGGTTTTCGGGAGGGGTTTCTAATATATTACTAGTATATATTTATAAAGATATAAATACCTGATTTCTTTAAGGATTCTAAAGCTTTTTGCTTTTATTATTCTAGAGTCTATTACTTGTATTTCTGAGGTTCCGTTATCTTAGTAGCGCTTATATTACTAATAGTTCTAAATTAGTTTATTTGAAATCCTCTATAGGATTAAAGGAAGTGAGCTTTAAATACTATTATAGGTATAGTATTCAGGGCTTGGAAAGTAAGGTAGAAGGTCCCTTATAAAGATAATTTAAAGCTAAGAAAGAGAAAACTAGAATATAGGAGGCTGCGAGGAAGTATATATATCCTATAGTATACTAGTTCCGAAGGGGCTTAGCTTTCTAAATATCTCTAGTATATTTCAAGTATACTTCCCTAGTAAGGCGGCTGTATTATATATATCTAGAAAGCATTTAATATCTGGCAAGGTATCTCAGATACCGGATATCTGGGAATTATAATAATAATTAATTTATAGTTTATAGAATAGAATTTATTAGTATTTAAATAATAATAAATATAATAATTAAAAAAGGAAATATTATAAGAAAGCTTATTATTTTTGCTAATAATTAAGTATTTATTTTCTTATTTACTAGACTATAAAACTAGTTAGGTTAGATTATTCTTATTAAGGTTTATAATCTTATAAATATTCTTTAGTAAAAAGGCTATAAAGTTATAATTAGGTGAATTCTAGTATATATTAGAATACATGAAAACAAGATTATAAATCTTTTAGTAAAGTAAATTACTAGGTAAAAGCTCAAGCTAAAGAATATTAAAATAGCTCCCGAAATACTAGTAATTAATTCAAGCTATATTTTCGAAATAAAGTAGCTCTTTTAACTTCTTTCTTCTTATAAGAAATTAGTTAATAACTTTATAAAAGAAGCCTAAAGTCGGAAATAGAGAAATAGTATTACTAGTATATTATATAAATAATAATAATAAGGTAATAATATAATACTAAACTATTATATTAATAATTTTTATAAAAATCTCTTTTATAAAACCGAGGCCTCTATTCTAATCCAGATATAAATAAAGAAAATCGGGCTTTATAAATATCTTAATACTATTAATTATATAGAAGATTTATAGTATAGCTATAATTAGGTTTACTAAATAGTATATTATATTATTAAAGATTATAAGTATTTCGAAAATACTTGTTTTATATATTTAGAAAAAAATATTATTAGAGATACTAGGCTTTTTCTAAGAAATATTAAGCTTATATCTAATACTATTAAATTTATACTTATTACTAGTTTCCTGAATTAGTTTATAAGCTATATAAAGATACTTTTATTATTAGAATAGGAAATAAAGCTAATTAAGGTAATAATTATACTTTACTAGGCTAATTAAGCCTCTCTAAAAGCTATTATATTATAATAAATTATATAGAAATAAAAGAGAAAGTAAGAGGCAAGGTTATATAGAATAGAAAGTATTTTAATTTTTGATTTTATATAATTTTTCGATTTCCTTTTTATTTTATTAGCTCTAGAGTAAAGTCAAGAACTCGTAATTATCTCTATAGCCTAACCCTATATAATATATCTATATAGTACTTTAGGTAGCTAAAAAAAAACTAATAGAATATAAAAAAAATTAAAAAAAGCTTCCTAAAACCAGAATTATTTACTTAAAGTAATAATATTATTTATAATTTGAGATTAATTCTATTTTATATATATTTATTAGTATTCTTCTAAAACTGCTTTAAAATAGTACTTATATAAAAAAAGAATTATTTCCAAGTTATTTTAAGCTTTTATATTAATAATAATATAACTTTATAATTTTAATTATAAAATAAAGCTTGCTTTTTTAGTTATATTCTATTTATTTATTTAATATAAGAGCTATTATTATTTCTTTTATTTATTCTAACTTTACTAATCTTATTTCAAAAAAATTAATCTAAGTTTAATATAAATATAATAGCTTATAAGCTAAATTCGCTATTTTCTAAATTATTTTTATAAAAATTTAATTATTTTACTATTATAGTAAGGTTTTTTCTTCTTTACTATTTTATAATTACTATTATATATTTTATTTATTTTTTGAATATATTAGTACTAGTTTAAGAATTTATATAAGATTTTCTTTTATATATATAATTAGTTTCTCGAATATATTAATTTTTAAAGTCCTTTATTTTTAATTATTTATATTATTTTATTACTAGTATTAAGAGTTTTAAAATTATTATTTTTATTTATTTAGCTTCTTATCTTCTTTACTTTTACTTATATATTTAATACTTATATATAGTTCGAAATTCATATATTAATTAAATTCCTATTATAATATTATCTAAATCTTTTATTTTTAGGAAAATTTACTAGAAATATATATAAATCTAATATTTAGCTTTCTTTATTAAAGCTATATTTCGTATATTAGTTATTTATTCCAAACCAAGAATATACTTATTTTATATATATTTTAAAGTATTTAATAAAAATTTGGCTATTTTACTTTATATAAAATATATTTAAATTTAGTAATATAAATAAATAAAAAGAATTATTATATTAATAAAATATATATAGCTGAGTTTGAGCTTTTAATTATTTGTTTAAATTATTATAAACTTATATAAATTAATTAAGAATTATATTATAATTTTATATTTATAATAAATTTATAATTTATATTAATAAATTAAAATTAAAAAAGTTATAATAAAACTAAATAATTTTAATTATTATATTATTAATTAAAAGTATTATTGAAAATTCGATTTAATATAAATAAGAATATATAATTAATCCAGATGAGCTGAAATAATGAAGTGATCTGATCTGCCTGACTTTGAAGCTCGAATTATCTAATTGAGGGGAGGCCTGGAACCTGACACAGGTGGTAGCTACATCACTTTAGAAGAACTCTTATCTTTTCTGTTCCATTTTAAGCATCAAAACCGAGGCAACTGCAGTTTGGAGATTCATGTGTTCGCCAATCTGGCTTCTATGAGGATGCAACGTCAATGCCACTAGATGTCTACATGCTTGGAGATACTCATCCGAGATTCTGTGTTTCTCGGTGTTTTTCACTTGTTTTTTTCTCGGCGTGCTTTGAGAAAAACCGAGTGTCGTATGTCTCACACCGGAGGCTCTGAAATGATTGATGGATTGATTGATTGCATAGGGAGCCCGAGAGAGGCTCTCGGTGGCCGTACAATTACAACCAAATGGTACAAGTTATGCCCCACAAGAGACACACTAAGCATTCTGATCCTCCAGGCTACACCCTGGTACTTGTTCTTTTCCTAGCCGCGGCCCCTTGTTGTCTCTTGAACCAGTCACGAACAGCTTCAATACCTGCCGAACAAGCCCAAGGGATCCCAATAATGCACCCGATGAACCAGTATATCGAGCCCGCAATGAGAGTACACAGTATCCAGTGAAGCACGGGTGGTTCCAATTCATCTTCATCGGCTTCGGCGGGAGCGGTCTCATCCGTTGCTTCACTCCTCACTGATGCAGCGTCTGGTGGACCGCCATTTGCAGGATTTTCAGGACCATTTGCTGTGGAATCGTCCGCAGCATCTCCCGTACCACTCCCCTCAGCAGTTCCCCCAGCTCTTCCATTTCCAGTACCTGGAGCATTCTCAACACTGCCTGAAGCACCATCCCCAGCACTTACCCCAGCATTTCCGTTCGCACTTCCTGTGGCATCTGTCGTTACATTTTGCGCGGCATTCCGCAGTGTACTTTGCATCGCCAGGCTTGACGAGGTGTTCTTCATAAGGCCTTGTTTAGCACTTCCAATGCCATTCGCACTATCATTTCGCAGCGGGGGGGCGGATTCAGGATCCTTCCCCTTTCCTTTTTGTCCTCGCTTCGTGGAGCACTCGAAGCAGCAATGCTCCTTAAACCAATTGGCCACTTTGACGACTGTTTTTACTCTCATAGAGAGTAGCAGGAGTCCAGGGTAGATGCACATCAGGCAGATGTACAAAGTCCGAGGAACATTCCTGTAATCCGAGCTCAGGAATTTCAAGATCCCACAAAGATTTCCAGCTTCGTCGGGAGTGTCGTCGGCATAGCCATCATCACGTACACGTGCTTGATCTTCTCCGGTTCCGATAGCCCACGCATCGTATTGAATTCGAGCAAGCGATGTTTGGAAGAGGCGTTCGGCTTCAATCCTCCAAAACGCGTCCCCCAGATCTTGAGATTGATACTGAGACACTCTTGCCTGTGCAACAAGACCACCTCCAAGGCGGGTCTTGATTGAGTCGTAAATATTGGAATTCTCCAAGGACAGCTTTGTGTACCAATACTCGGGTGGGAGGGCTATACCAGAGAATCCTCCGTGCGCCAGATCATGAGCAGGCCAGCACTCAGCCCCGTCATAAGTGCAAATCTCACTGCTGTCAATGCATGCAAGCGCTCGAGCTTTAGGATCCGATTTCCAATACCAAGGTTCGTCACCACTCCCGAATGGATGATCCGCTGGGAAGATTGGATCTCGGTTAGGCTTGGGATAGAAAATCCGGAGAGCGGAGATGAATATGATCGTAAGGGTTTTGTTCTGGGTCGGCCTCAGTTCTGGAATCGGTTGCCAGGAGTCCTGCTCGGGCCACGGTGTAGTACCATAGGTTCTGACGAAAACAATTTAGTCATCGCATCAGAATAAGAGAGGCGTACCAAGGTCTCGCGTACCTGACAACATAGCTTGGAGCATGCCAGTCGTGGGGGTTTCCAGTGGTGCTATAAGAATAATTATAGTTGTGACCGGTGTTGCCAAATTCATAGTGGTATGTTATTTCCCCGTTCTCGGCGGTCTTGTTGCTAACATAGGAGTCTTCCCAAGTGAGAGGCGAGCAGGTAGAGTTGCGACGAAACTTGAACAAGTGCTCGCTATTGATCCCGATGTCGTTGGGGTCAATCAGATCTGTGTAGAAATGCATGGGCTGTTGACCCTGAACGCACATTTTGTCTACGGGAAATGGGCAGCCCCACCTTGGCTCAGCAGTATACTTGATAGTGGGTTTGTAGAATAAGTTGCAGCGTCCGGATTTTAATAAATCCGCACTTCCGTAGCAATTTTGAGCGTACTCTCCCGCTCTTGCCTCCTTCTGACGATCGTAAATGTCATGTCGCGTCGCAGCATCGATTCCAGCCGCAGAGCTGTTAAATTTCCAGACACCACAATACTCCGAGTCCCAGAGAACAGCTCTGTTATTAGAGACACCAGCAGAAAAAACGCTTCCAATCGCCCAAGCAACGAAGGCACCCAGAACCACGATTCCGAGAATGGTATTATTCTCGAGCCATTTTCGAACGGTTCGCCGCGAATGCCGGCCCGTGCCAGTTGGCGAGACTTGGGCAGACCCATTTACTGCCCGATGCTTCTTGATACCTCCGGTTGCGGAACCTGATTCGGAGGGATTTGGGGGCTGACTGTATGATTCTTTGAGGAGAGGTGTTCCCTCGTGTGGTCCTTGGGGTTCACCACGTGCCGTCTGAACTCGCGAACTGCTGTTGAACTAGCTAAAGCAATATAGCTAGGGTCACGTGCTTGCAATGTAAACCAAGTAAAACGTACTGAATTGACTGCTGTTCTACAGTGGTAAGTAGCCCGTATATATAGCCCTGAACCCCCTAAGTCACATGTACTAAATCCCTATGCCAGCTGAACCGATTACAGCTATACAGGGTATTCCAGCCGTACAGGGTATTCCAGCCGTACATGGTATTCCAGCCGTACAGGGTATTCCAGCCGTACAGGGTATTCCAGCCGTACAGGGTATTCCAGCCGTACAGGGTATTCCAGCCGTACAGGGTATTCTAGCTATACAGGGTATTCCAGCTATACAGGGTATTCCAGCTACACAGGGTATTCCAGCTGGACAGGGTATTCCAGCTGGACAGGGTATTAAGCTAGTGCACAGCCCCATGGCGTTCGGTTCCAGGGCTTACTAAGCCTATTAGGGGCCTCAGGCCCCTAATTTCAACAACTGCCTTGCAAACGTTCCCTAAATTTCGCAAAATAGAAGAGAATCTCAGAAAGTATACAACGCCAAACAGCGATAGCAGAAACCGAGAATTGCCAAATTCTACTTCCAAAAACGTGGGACGACACGTATGCCCAATAATGCAAATAAGCGATCTCGACGGAAAATTGACTCGACATGCCGAAAATTTTCGAACGTAATACCAGGAGGAGCCATCGGTAGTACATGCCCTCCCAATCACGTTGACCAGCAAGAGCCAAAAAAGGCTCCCAGCGCGAATTGAGCTATAAAAAGCTCACTGCCATAGCACATCTGGGAATTCGCGGCCATATGATTCCCCACTGGCGAGGTAGCTTATTTGGAGAATAGCCATATTCCCCACTGGCAATAAAGATTAATAGTAAAGGAAGTAAGAAAATTACTTAATAGGTAATTAATTAGCAAGTGTGACGGCTGGCGTAAGGGCATGATCTGCCAAGGACAGGATATCGGAAACAGGCACAAAACGAAGCTAAGCCGGAATTGCTTGGACGGAACAATACTAAAGGTCGAGGCATCCTCCCTACTTTGTTCCATAGCTAAAAAAAAAAAAAAAAAAAAAAAAAGGACAGTGTATTCCAAGCCGGACAGGCGTATTAAGCTAGTGCACAGCCCCATGGCCGTTCGGTTCCAGCTTTTACTAAGCCCTATTAGGGGCCTCAGCGCCCCCCTAATTTTCAACAACTGCCTTCCCATCGCTTGCCTCCATTCGCAAAATAGCAAGAGAATCACAGAAAGTATACAAGGGGCCAACACAGCGAGGAGCCAGACACCGAGAATAGCCATGAGTATAGTTGCCCATTCTCCGTAAGGTCCATTGAAAGCCTATTGCGCATGGGTAGATAACATGCGCGCTCCGATGAATCAAGCCCCTCTCACTCACGGTTGATGCCTGTAGTCTTCCCAGCTCGGCCATCCATTTTTTGACGTTTCCGTTCGCCAGTAGGCATAGGGGGGGGGGGGGGAGCCTCTTGGGGTTCTTGTGAGACCAATGCTTGTACCAACTATCACCCCTTTTGTGCCACCCCGTGAAGGCTCCGCAAAGTTTCCCGCGGCCTCCAAGGGAAGAGTTGTCGAAACCAAATGTCCACAAGTATGAGCGACGGGCTGTGACTTGTAAGACTTTCAGAGTTTCCAGAATGTAAGATGGAGTGATTCATATGAAGGCTGTTGAGCCGCGAGAAGAGAGCAGGGGTCTTCCTCCGTCCGCCTCTCGTTTCCGCTTCTGCCTTCCAGGACAGCCAACTACGAAAGTCTACGCCTCCAAAGCCTAGAACCGTATTGGACTTCTAGAAGGTCGATAATATTACAAGAATAAGTAAAGATAGCGAAGGGAAACCATATGAAGTAGAACATGCGAAAATTGCCGGTGTTTTCATTGAAGCCAGTCACTTCTGTCGCGATTGAGTGATGACCCCTGATGAGCATTGGGAACCCTTAGCGCAGGCTATTGCTGCCCAAAGCAGCCCCTCCCTCCACTGCGAAGCCGGGCGTCGTGGCGCTTTTCCTGTGCAAACACCACCCAGCGAACGAGGCGATGCAACATAATCCTTGTCCATAATGCGGCACTTGAAGATATGTATGAGTGAGCAATGCCTTTGATCCGTGGCCACTTTCCTGTGGTTTTCGCCGCGAACTCCCTGCACAGAAATGTGCTGCAAAAATGTCCAGTAAAACCAAAAACCGGCGGGGCCAAAACAGGCGGGGCCGAAACATAGGCCCAGGTTGGCTCTGGGACGACGCTCGACAGAAGCATTATTACGCAGATGACCAAAAGCGCTGCTGGTTCTTCGATGATGGAACCACGATCCCGTACGAACAGGAGGTTACTCAACCGTGAGTTGGCATTGGTATTGTCGACCATTGAGAACAGTTTGCCTGACTATTTGTTCAAGTCTCGATAGTCGAGTCCCACGCTCTGCCGTCGATAACCATTATCGTAGCGACGACGATGGAAATGATCTGAACTCTCAGTTTGCCGAACTCGACGTCAGCCAAGGTAGGTCCAACGATTCTCGATCTTTACTTAACAACAAGTGCCATTAATGCCATTGGGCTTTGGTTTCATTTCGAATTGGAAGAAAGATTATCCTAAACGTGAAAGAAACATGTGCTAACTAAGGCTGGATGAAAGACTACCAGGACTCGGAATATATAGAGGGCTACAAATCACCGGCCCACGAACATCACGAACCCCATTATACTTCGCGTACTCAGCGGTCCGACAACTACGGCGAAGCACAATATGATTCGGCGGCGCAGGGTCCGGCAACAAAATCTCAGTCTGGATTACTTTGGGGTTCGCAGCAGACCCCCTACGAAGCACCATATAGTCCGTATCCCAGCACATCCATTCCAATTCCACCGTACGGTGCGCAGCAGAACCTCATAACCTACCACGCTCGCCCTCAATACTCCTCAGACGCGCAACAACCTTATTCTAACACACAGCGAGTACCATACTCATTGACAGAGGCGGATGTCTTCTTCGATCCTCCTCACAATATCACAGATCCACGCCTCTACAAGAAAGATATAACTGCCTTGGCTCGAGTATGTAGGTCAAAAGGAAACCGGATTAAAAGCGAGTATTTGCGAATACTGGATGGATCGTAATAGTTACTGACATAGCTCAGATGGGATCGAACTTTCAAAATGCGCCGTATTAGGAACAGTAAGACACCCACTATTGTCAACTAGGAAGATTCTCATTCGTGAACTAGGTCTTCAAGATTCCGTGGTCAGAGTCTTCGGGCATCGACTCAGATCGTGATGAAGTAGAAGGGGACTATGGCTTCCCTTTTCGTTGGTTTGTTGTTGTCTTAGGGACGGGCGGCACCCGTTTCTGTTCTTGCTTGTAAGTGCAACAAATGACTTAAAACAAATTATTATAGTCGCTAACTGTTACATTTTAGACTAATAACCACTTATCAAGGGTGGGGTATCCAGAAGGCGGGGATTGCCGTCGACGCCCATGAAGTAATCGGTACTCGACAAGACCTGTGTGAGGACGAAAAATTGGGCCAACCAATCATAGTAAAACCAAAAGTCTATGACTCCAGGATGCCATACAATTCCCTGGTCAACTTTGAGAAGATATACAGCATAGATCGCGACGTTTGCGTCGTTGAGTTTGGCAAGGTTGACCGATATCAAAGCCACAGCCTTTTCGAGACGCTAGTGAGAATTTGGTCGACTGTGACGGCTAATTTGTCTGAAGAGGAGCGGCAACGGCGTCAAGTTGAGGACAGAAACCGTTGGGAACGAAATCAAGACGATTTCGCTGATGGTTAAGAGGGTTGATATAGAGATGGAACATTTTAATGATGAGCTTATGGATTGTAACTCCACTGGTGTCTAGAGTGACTGCGTCACCACCGGAAATGGCATTGACAGCTCTGTCCCAAAAATATCAACGAAATCTTCCTGCACGGTCTCCTATCCGCCGACTCCGACGGCGTCGCCAATTTGAAGCTCTCTTCTCAGTTCACTGCACCGGCTGCACAACACACACTCATGTCCTCGTACACTTTAATGGCACAATCTACCCAGACGGCACGTATGGCGGCGGTGTAATGTCTCATGTCTGCTAACTCTTCTTTGACCGAAGTTTTATCACGGAAGCTGAAGACAGGTTCGTATAACACCAATACCTAGGTCTTGACTACTAATGCGGATGGTAATATTATGTCCGAGGAAGCCATCAGCAGCGATCCCGTTTGTGAATGAAGCCTCCTGGGTAACATTTAGCATATTCTCTGCTAAGTATCTTATGGGCCCGCCAGCGACCGGCCTTGGATCTCGTCACCCGCAGCACCATCTATCATAGCCTTGCATTAGGGCTCTTCCACATCATTCGCAACGACCTTCCAACCCCGCATCTCCTTAGCCAAACCCCACGCGGAGTCTATGTCCGTAACTCTTGCGAAGTCTATGAGCGTTATCGCATCCTCCCTCTCACCATCTCTGCGTCTCTCTTTCTTGACTTTAATTCTGCCAGCAAGCCGAAGGGTATCGAAGTCCCTGATGCCTGTCGCGGGCGCAAGTGGGGCCTCCCCTAGGATCCATAGGATGCCGGCCATGACCGCCAGGAGCATCGCCGCGGCAGCGACGATGAAGAGCCAATCCGTCCACGGCTGGATGGCTAGGCGAGACTTGGACCAGCCGTCCGTGGCGATGGTTGCAGTGTCTTCGGGTAAAGGGAACGTCCCGTTAACGACGGTGTAGTTGGCGAACTGGACGGCCGTGACGGTGAACTGTAAGGGGATGGCGAGGAAGTTGTGTAGGTTGGTGACAAGGCTGTTCTGGTCGTCGGGGAAGGAGCCTCTGTAGGTCCGGTGGAGCCAAGTTAGCGTGTAGATCAGGGAGTCGATGGCTGCTCTGTCGGGGTCTGTGGCGGCGCTGGTCGGGATCATTATCTTCTTGAAGATGGCCATGTAGTCTGATGCATTCACTGGCATTCGCTCCAGGTCGGCAGTCGGACGCACGTCTATAATGGAAAAGTTCTGTCTGTTGTAGGCGGTTGTTGCGAATTGCTTGTACGTGGCCATGACAGTGGCCCATTTCAACGGGGCTGTTGTCCAAGTGCGGTTGGTGTTACAGCTGTTGGTGCTGTATAGTTCTTGAGGACACCCAGCCCACCCTAGCACGAAAATGTTAACCCTAGTATCCAAATAACTGTACATGGAAGAGAATGTTGGAACTTACCAACAGCTATGGACTGGCCGACTTGGCGAATGCACATCTGCAAGGTGTCATTGATTGCCTGCCCTGCATAAAGACAATCTCCCACTGGGTCGAAGGTGATGTCGCTGGCATTTCGGTAAGTTGTAACAATTCCCGGGGCATTGTTGATTCTGATCGTCTCCGCACTGTCAAGGAGGCCTCCCTCGAACATTGAGAGATTGAGCGATGGGCCCACTTGACGAGCCAGCTCGATTCCTCCTGGGAGAACCAGGGACCTACAACCGGTGCCGCAACCATCCATAGGGAAACTGGTGGCATATTTGTTGTTCGTCAACAGACTGGAGGTCCATCCTTCTATGTACAAACAAAGAACGGCCGGCGGAACAATGTCAAGGACCCGGTTGTCGAGGGGAATAAGACCAGCGAATACAGGAACTTTGGTATGCCCCGGAACGAAATAATACTCAAATGTTGCACGGTCTGTTTGGCGAACTTGGTTAGCAAAAAAGGGCAGAGCCGAGGAGAGGGGACTTAGCGGACATTTCAACATGGATCCGAAAGCAAGACCCACGATAGGAATCCCAAGTATTACCACCAGCAACGAGCCTTCGCCCAAAAGGACGGACGTAAAGTTACACCAAAATTTGGGGAACCAACCCGCGGCAAGAAGTTTCAGGACAGAGGACCACCCAGAGGAAGAGCCGATGCCGAAGAAAGTGACTAAAGATGTGTCCTTGAGCACCAACCGCAGGGTGGTAAGAAGCCCATGCATTGTCATAGCCGCAAGAACGACGAATATTTGTGAGAAGATAGAAACCAACAAGTTAGTGGTGGAAGCGCCGAAGAAGACAGCACCGACTTGCACCTTGCCCTCGATAAGAACATAGTATATGAAGAACATGTAAAGGACAGTAAAGACCAGCCAAGCAACGAAGATGTACACAACATCACCAATTGCTCGAGCGTTGCGCCATAAGTTCTTCGAAGGCTTCGCTGAAGACGCCCTGGGTCGACGGGCTTGAGGAATGGCAGGGCGGTATGAGTCAGGTAAGTTTGGAGGCAACAAAGGGGGGACGTTCGAGTTAGTTAACTGTGCCTGGTTCATTGGAGGTACTGACTAAGGCGGACGGAACGCAAGAAGAGGAGAACGTTCTGACTGAAAGGAATAAGTTTACTGATGACGCTTCCCTACTATGAAACCCGTTATACAAGCGGGTGATGAGAGATAGATATAGGCAACTAACTGGCCATCCTTGGGGAACAGACTACTGACCGGTCGGAGGCTTTCTGCGGCGATACGGGAAACTAATATCGTGTAACTCGAGGGTGGTGTTTCGCGGACCACAGGCAACCCAGGGGTCCGACCTGCAGCCAGTAGGAAATCACGATGAGGCCAGTGCGACCAGCATTCACCGAAAAGCAGGCGCCTTTACCTACCATAATTTGACACTGAGCTGTTTTCTATTTGGACTGATCCGGCCATTCACACGCCGATCAACGGAATATTCCGACATATATGGACCTGAGAGGGTGTGCGGTCGCGGAGCACACTATAGTAAGCAACCCAACGCCGGTGAGGCTGAAAGCCCCGCACGCTATTCCAAAAATACAGGAAAAAGTAAAACGACACGCCCAGGTGTTGATAAGGAGCGTCGATCACGGGTCAAGCTAACTATTACGTTATGCCAGTCAAGTGGTATCACTGCACGTGACTTAGCATGCAGCCAGTGCATTTATCCTGGCAGACAGCCTTTAGCTCAATGCAAGCTCTTTACTACTATTGCAATACCTATCTTATTATAATAAAGACTTTTAAGTATTTAAAAGATATTAAATAAAAGAAGCCCAAAATAAATAATTATATAATTATGTAAGGCACGTAATAGCAGGGTGAAGCACAAGTAGTCAAGGTAAGTAAGCTGCAGAGTGACGCTTGCAAGTATAACTGATTCCAAGAATTGATTCTAATAAAAGACTAATTAATACCCCTTTCCAAAGCTAGAAGCGTCTCCCTATATGTTCCCTAGTACTTAGCCAAGCCTGCGAAGCACTTTACTTAACTAGGAAATATAATCCCATATAATTCGTATGATTCCGATTACCTATATAATTCCGATTGCAAGCTTTACCCAAAATAGGAAACTAGATCCACGATATCTAATACCTATTCATGTGCTATTACGTATGCCTATTACAAATTATTACTTTATTTTATTAATAAAATATATTATAAGTTATTTTTTTAATAAATAAATAAATAAAAAATTATTATTTTAGAATTATAGCTATAAATACTTTATATTTAATAATTATTAAGAGCTATAAATAAAATAATAATAAACTCTAATATTATAGATTCTATATTAAAGCTATATATAATTAATATATATAAAATTATATAAGCCTATTTAAAACTTTATTATAAATACTTATATATATAAAAGAAAAAGAAAAAGAAATTAAGTAAAAAAGTATTAAAAGTATTGGATTATTAATTTAAAAAGCAAGAATAATAAATTCTAAAAGTTATATAAAAAGGAAATAACTATTTTCTAGCTAATAAAGTTTATATTTAAAAGTTTATATATAGACTTTAAATTATTATAAGGTTATTAAAGTTAAGATATTTCTTTATTTCTTAGCTTATATAAACAGGGCTTCTCCCAGTATTATCTAGTACTAAATTAAGCTATATACTACTCAGTTTCAATGGGAAGTATAAGGTGGCAACGTGGAGAGTAACAAAGTTCGCTACTGGCGGTTCATGGCACATGATGCGAAATGCATCATTTATAGCATTTGACGTGGTGAATGCGCAGATACTGAATGCCCCTTTTCTACAGTGGAAAGCTTGCAGGATGTCGACTTGTGATAAGTAGAAGGAAATGATGCTGCGGATCTGCAGTAGGCCGCAAAACCCTTCACTAAATGCTTGGGTAAACATCGACATGAAAAGGCAGCTTAACAACAACATTATATCTCTACCTTCGCATTGTCTCTGTGGACCATGACTTGGAAGAGCGACAGGAAGGAAGAGTGCTTACTAGCTCATTGTCTCATAGTAGAGTATAGTTGGAGGTAACACCTCGCCTGGAATCTGAAAATTCCGAAGGTAGAGTCCAAGATTTCACTTGATTGAGTTCTACCGCAGCGGTTGGGCTCCTATATGCCATACCGAAGGGCTTTTTTATCATAGACTTCAAGTTTGTTTGGTTATGCTCAAGAAAGCATGGGCAAATGGAAATTGCAAGGTTGGTAGTGCATACAAGAACTCGGGTATCTCTCCAGCGTGCCAGCAGTAACTTTCTCAATAAACGCCTTGTTTGCCACATAGGCAAGTTCACTCCTATAGGAATGAAGGCAGAGGTGGTGAGATTTGATTGAGGTTGATGGAATCAGGATTGGAACGTTGTGAGCGAGGAGGACTAGATACATGTACGAAATGAAGGTGGGGCATGAAGACCCGGGAGTTGCAGGATGACAGCCCCACAGGACTTGACAAAAAGGAGTACTGATAGCAAGAATTCTCCACTATCCCCTATCTTTCAAAGTTAAACGATGGGAGAGAAGGAGAGACAAGAGCCCGTTGTCTAACGAAGGGTGTTAGAATCAAGTTTCTATTAAAGGGAGAAAGAAGTTAGGCAATGCAAAAAGCTACATATATTTTGTCGTCTCTGTAACTAAGTTACGTGTGTATCGATTAAGACTAGGGCTGCATTTCTGGGTAAAGTGTAATTGAGAGAATGCTGGGTCTGCAGGGGAGAGGAGAAGAAGCAGCTGTGTTCAGACCGAACAATCAGGTTAAGGTCCAGAGATGCAATGCCTTTCGGGGACTGCCACGCTTCTATCTCAGGTCTCAAATTCACCCCATGTAAACTGTAAATGGTGCATGAACTTCGGAAGGCAGAAGGCACGTGTCTAAATACCAGAAGCATAATTCAGTGGAGGGAGGACTGACAGCAACGCAAAAGTTGATAACAACACATCCTCCCCTCTTTGCATTCCTCGACGTAGGGCAGAGATGTGGAAATCCGGCCACAAAGCAGTTTCACTATGTAGCGGGAATGGATGGGGAAATATCATTGATAGAACAGAGAAAAGAACGAAAAGGCTAAGGCGACTGTTGCCTTAAGGTAAATTGGAAGATAAAGTCTCAAACTGTGTGGGTTTGAGGTAATATTTACACCAGAAGCCATCCAAAGAGTGCGGTGTAAAAGAGAAAGGGAAGTGATGCACTGGTGATGGCATTGAACACCATAATGGCTTAGGCTGGAAGGTTTGAAGAAAACAGTATGGATGGCGCATCGCTAACTGATAAGGAAAGCCCGGCTCTCAGTTTCGCTGCGCTTATGCAGAGAGCGATATAAATAGTGTAACAAATTCTTTTGCATGAGGCAAAGCTGGTACTTACAGGAAGACTTCAAAATTATTCCGGTGAGGGGCGGGGAGTAGAAGCATGGTGCTAGCCGCTAATACCCTGAGCCAAAGGATTATTCAGATATAACAGGGGGAAAGGGGAAGAAGTGGTGAAGGAATAATACTGATCATAGGAGGGAGTGGGGGGGTTTTGACAGCGAGATGAAACTTGATAACCAAACAGAAATCGACAACAGAACTATCTTTCACATCCTTTAGTACAGAGAAACGGAGAGGGAGATGAAGCAGTTAGACATAACTCCTGCCTGCTACAAAGAAGCTAGATTATGAGCATGAGTATGAGCATGAGCTCGCGCTGAGGAAGGAAGGCAAGGGGTCCTAGAACAGTGAGGAGTCGCAACCTCGTCTCTGATACCTTGAATATGTTGATTCCGAGTTATATTTATATTTTCACATTTATGTACAATAAGGAAGGTAAGAATGCGTGGCAGAAGGAGGAGATATCTTTGAACCCACCGGCATGCTGTCTCGAGAGGCAAGAGAGGAAGTGAATAAATGCTACCTTCACACAGGAGTTTGTAAGATGAGGGTTCTTCGGGGAAATTTTTAATATTTTATCGAGAGAGAATATAAATTAGGCCACATGAACGCGGGGAGATTTCATAGTTCAGAGTCTCGACGGGGAGGGTTTCCACGGGTGAGTTGGGGGTCGAAGTGAAGAAGATAAACTGCTGTGCATAAGTCGGAGCTTTTACGCGGAAGCTACTGCAGTGGAAGTAGGACTGGGTAGATGGTATCGCGATCTTCCAGCATTGAGATCGCTGGCTTGAAAATGGACGAAAGAAATGGCAGCAGCAGAATGTTTGACAACAAGGATAATATCTACAATAAAATCCATCAGCGCCAAGTAGTGGCAGACAGGAAAGGGGATCATAGCGAACTCTCTCACTATAGGATCTCACCACAGAATCCGAAAGGGTAAAGGGAGCCAGGCTGAGGCCAGAAATAGTTCGGTTAGTCTGCTGTGTAGACTCTCGAGATTTTGGGCGGGATGATATTTATCCCTGCTACTGAACAAAGAATGCGTTGAACTGAGCACAACAAACAAAAAAGTTTTGGGAAAGTGGCACAAGAATGGCATGGTGTTATGGCAGAAAATGCGGGGGAAAGAGGAAGGAACAAGCTGTGTTCATTTCGGGGATAACATAAATTAATCCACTCCTGAAGTATAGCGGAATGCAAACTTACACACTGGGAGAATGTCGAGCGATCTGGTTCGTAAATCAAGGGTCTGGAGCGTCTCTAAGTTTCCCTCCGTGAAGAGCTCTAGATCGAAAGAAATTTAGATGCTGGAAGAAGTGCTAGTTGTATACCAAGATCACCTCCCGCATAAATGAATCATTGACTTTACGGACGGAAGGAAGTGACAGCAAGAAGGAAATTGACAACAAACTACCTCTCTCTCCTCTTTTAACTAAATAACGCTACAGAGGATTTAGGAGAAGGCCATGAGTTCTTACCTCACTAGAAAAGATACAGAGAATCTCACGGCAAGTAAAGACAGCAAAGGGACTTGGGTCAAGTCCGACCCGTACATCAGGGTGGCCATTGTTTTGATGCGTAGGTTTTGGCTTTTGCTGATCTCGGGGATATTTATATCTGCTGCTAGGGACAAAGAAATTGCTGTTCTACTGCAGAAATGCAAGGCGGAGTATGGTGGGGCTTGGGGATATCTTCGCCTTGTGCAATTCAGAAGTGAGAAGGAAAGGAAATAAAAGTGTCTCAACATCATAGTTATAGAAGTAAGGCTCTCCAGAAGTGGACTCAATCATTTCGGGATATATAAATAAGGCAACGCCGATGCGGGAGGAGAATAGGAATTCCTGACGAAATGACAGCAGAACTCATAACGGAAAGATTGGGGAGTGGCCTGGGGCAGCTCTGCTATTTTGAATCACGGATTTTGCGTAGAAATTTACGTTCATTTGCTATTCATGCTGATTCTCCGACTGCTGTTGCGAAGTAGCGTGATTGGGTGAGGAGCTGAATGAGAAGAAGTGGTAGCAAAAGGAAGCTGACAGCATCGACAGGTGCCAGGGCTCATATTCTTTACAGTCGAGCACCTACGAATTAGGGATGAGGGTGGTGTCACAACTCGTTGCCCCGCAGCAGAGTACTCAAAGAAGGGCGTGTCAATCAAGGAAGGGGAGATGCTGCCAGAAGCCTGTCTCTGTGCGTCCGACGCAGGCTTTTGATGCAGAGTACGAAAGGCTGGGGAGCTGACACCCTTTTAATGTGCGTCTGCGAAGGAAAGATGACGGCAAGAATCAAAGGCGTGGAGGAGTGGCTGGAAACTACCCAACAATTTATTCTTGGGGTTGAAGGAGTCAGGAGAGGTCAAAAGTCAGGAAATGCTCGAATTTGGGATTGTCCTGTTCCGTCATTCTGCTTCTGCTTTTACCGGCCATGATTTATGCAATGCCGCTGCATCATCCATCGCAGCGCCAGCCCTGCCCGTTTCCACCAAAGCAAAAAGGCAATGGTATATCCTTGTTCCCACGCAATGCTCCGTCCCCAAACGCCATTCAAATATGTACTCTTACTCGAACCCCATCGCCTCATCCTCACTCCCTTCCCCACCCCCTTCTTCCTCCTCCCTCTCCCTTCTCGCCACCTCCCTACTACTCCCCAGCCTCCTCAACCCATCGAGAACCCCCAAGATGAAGCCTCTCCCCTCCGCGACCTCCATCGCCCCAACACCCGTCATCTTACTAACCCCTCCTCCCTCCCCTTCAAGCACCTTCACCGACCCTCTCATCTTACTCATTCGCACCTCTCTTAAATCCCTCAACAGTCCTCTCACCCGATCAGGCTCAGGCACATCATCACTCGCTGCCTCCAGTAATATCTCCCCGAGCTCAAGCCAGTGATAGGGTAGGTAATCAGGCGGTGCTTCGGCGGTGGACGAGGGGAGGAATGGTGGGGAGATGTGATCTGTTGGTGAGATTCGGGCGGTTATCGGGTGAGGGTGTGGTGGTGGAGGCGAGAAAGCGAGGGGAGAGGTCTCGGTTTCGTGTTTTAGGATTCTTTCGAGGGAAGAGGGGAGGAGCCAGGGTGGTGGGAGGATGTTGGCTCTTCGTTGGCGCTTGAGGAGGAGTGCGAGCCAGAGAGGCAAGGGAGCGCGGTGCGGTGGGCGGAGGGCGGGAGTTGGGCCCTGGGAAGGAAATGTTAGCTCCAAAGATATGGAAGAGGGGAATTGAGAATGGATTTTGGGGGGGGGGAGTGTTTGGTGGGGTAGAATTTGGGGGAAACCCACAGAGAGGAGATTTAGGCGTTCCAGGCGTTGGCGTGGAACGACAGTAACCATTTCCATTTCACAGAGGAAGGCGACCTCCATTGGCGTCAGGCCAGCTTGCAGGGGTAACGCCATGGTTGCTGAGGGTTTGTGTCTCGTGTTGAGGTTAGAATTGATGTATTAGTAGGACGCGGTTTGACAAGGATAACGCGACGCAAGTGCCTGAGAAATAAGGTTGTAAGGTCTGGGCATACAAACTTCACTCTCAATGACATCTCTTCGTCCTCAACCATGAAACATCTCCATGAGCCCACCGCCGCAAATATCCCAGTGATCTGTCAAAGGGCGGCTGCGTCCGATGTCTCTCTGGTAGTCGCTTTTCCAGTTTTGTATTAAAGTAACCCACTGGCTGTTGTGAGTCAAGATGTGGTCGATCAACTCGGGTCACCGAACATGTCTTGGATCGGGAGGACGACACTGTAGGACAGTCATCAGTATGAGTAGAAAATGGAACTAGCCCGGTAGTCCTTTGAGGTATCGTTTTCAGTCACAGAGATAGAACATGTGAGCAAGTGGTGGCAGTTTCCAAGTGAAGACCTTTCGGCTTCCGGATGGCTGGATAGCTTCCATTCTCTAGTCCCCACGGCTACCTGCTCCTCAGCATGCTATACCGATAGTCTGGAAGCCATATTGCCGGGTCTTGTATCGGTTTTTTGCCAACAGCTGCTGTGCAGCTTGTGATACCTTCGGATACCTGCTGCGCCGTCGATAGCCCTGTCGCACAATCTAATCATCTGCTGCTTCAGTGGTTGACGGCCTCGAGCGTTGTCCTCAAAAATTTCGTGTTTGCTCTTCTTCTTATCAAAGGAGGAGGTTCAGGGCCAAGGAGACTCGATACGTGCAGTATATTAACAATATAATTAAGGTAATTAATTAATAAAATATTTAATTAATTATAATTTAATTACTATCTAAAAAACTAAAATTTAAGTCCCTCAATTCAAATAATTAATTAAACCAACTAAATGATTATTTGAGATATATATATAAGAAAATATATTTCTTTTATTTAAAAAGCTATTTTAAAATTCTATTTTTGTTTTTTTACTCTTATATATTCTTTTCTTTTTACTAACTGTCTTGTTTTCGCCTTCTTATAACTCACGGGCTTTTTATATATATTCTTTTTTATTTTATTTTCTTAATATAATTCTTTCTTCTTATATACTTAAGCTAAAGTTATATAAAACTTTACTAAAGTCTTGTTTTAAGAGTTAAGTAGCTTCTTAACTCTTTACTTCTTTTAGAAGCTTATATAACTAATTAATTAATTATAATTAATTTAGTTAATCAGATAAATGATTAGATTTCCGGCTTAATTTATTTGATTACCGCCTAATAATTATGATTGATAGGATTATTTGATACTGGATACGTGCAATCCCTGTCATGGATACAGCAAGCTGGTTGGTCTTGACAATGCCAAACGGCTGCTTGTTTGTGAAGATGCGAACATGAATTATGTTGGCAGAAAATTGTTTCCTAGATAGGACCGTTAGACCACTGCTTTTATTTCAGAGAACATGTTAGTGAGTCGTCGTTCTTTCCTCGCCTCCTCATTGTTGATTGTGGACAATCGAGTTCACCTCGATCTCTGTCCAGTCGCACAACCAACTATCTCTTCTTTATCCAAGTCTCACCACTTTTCGCGAAACCCCTGCTCATAAGGGAAACACAAGAGAGAGACACGGATATAAATACCCGGAGTCTTTTAATTACATATCTGCCACAAGGCGCAATCGGGGCGAGGAGTTTCTCGTCACCTCCAATCCCTCGAGCAAATCCAGTTCCCAAATGCTGAACGCAGCTGGCACGATCACCATGGCTTCCAATCAACCAAGGAATACACCTACTGATTCCGATCTCTCCCAAGCAAAGTATATCGAGGATAAAGAACTCGGCAGCTTGACCTCGACAGAAGGAACCACTGTGTCTACCCCTCTACCATTCACTGAGGCCGCGACGAAGAAGCTTCTGCGCAAGTTGGACCTCCACTTGATCCCATTCTTGGCACTTCTCTACCTGTAAGTATTTCCAATCCTCGAATGACATCTGCCGACAGCCCAAGACTCTGCTACCTCGACCGCACCAATGTCGGCAATGCGCGTCTCGTCAACCTCGAGAAGGACCTCAAAATGAAAGGCCTCGACTACAACATCTCCCTTGCCATCTTCTTTCCATTCTATGTCGCTGCTGAGATTCCAAGCAACATGATGTTGAAAAGAACACGCCCAAGCATCTGGTTTACATTAATCATGGTGTGCTGGGGCCTCATCATGTTGTGCATGGGCTTCGTACAAAACTTCAGCGGACTTCTTGCTTGCCGCGCTTTCCTTGGCATTGCAGAGGGTGGGCTGTTTCCTGGTGTTAGCTACTTTATTACAATGTGGTATCGTCGAACTGAATGCGGCCTACGGATGGCTTTATTCTTCTCTGCTGCGACATTGGCTGGTGCTTTCGGTGGTCTGCTGGCACGTGCAATATCACAAATGAGTGGCATTGGTGGGAGAGCAGGCTGGTCGTGGATTTTCATCCTGGAGGGACTGATGACACTTTTCATTGGAAGCTTCTCTTATTGGCTCATCAATGATTATCCATCAACGTGAGTGCAGCAGCACCACCCTTTTAGTTTGAAACTAATAACTTGCAGTGCCAAGTTTCTAACGCTCCGAGAGCGAACTGAAGTCCAGCGAAGAATGGCCGAGGATGGTGGCCTCTCTGACGACTTCCATCTCAAATATGTCATTCAAGCATTCCGAGACTGGAAGATCTGGGCCAACATGTTCATCACCATTGGCCTCTTCACTCCTCTGTACTCCATCTCTCTGTTCCTTCCCACAATCATTAACGAACTCGGCTATACTGCGAACGCAACCCAGTTGATGACAGTCCCGGTCTACGTCGTAGCGTGTTTCTGCACCATTTGTGGAAGTTTGGCATCTGACAAAGCTGGGCAGCGAGGCCCCTTCCTCATGGGATTTGCAATGCTTGCTATCACGGGCTTCTTAATGTTGATCACCAGTGGGAAACCTCATATTCAATATGCAGGAACGTTTCTTGCCGCTTCTGGTAAGTCACCACCATTTTGTCTTCTCCGTAGCATTGACCCGTGCTTGCAGGCATCTTTTCCACCGTCCCATTAATTGGCACATGGAACAGCAACAACATCGGCGGCAGTCTTAAGCGCGGAGTCGGTATCGCAATGCAAGTTGGCTTCGGCAACTTCGGTGGTGCCGTCGCTGGCTTCGTCTATCTTGCCCAAGATCAGCCTCGGTGTGCTTCCTACCCAACAAATTCTCGCTGCGCTGAGCTAATTTATACACAGGTTTATCAAAGGACATGCAATACTCATCGCCCTCGTCTCAATGTCCCTTTCCCTGTCAACTCTCATGACTTGCTACTATCGCCGCGAGAACTCCCGTCGTGATGCCATCCTCCGAGGCCGCAACATGACGATCGGGGACTATAGCAGTGACATGAAGTGGGAGGAGCGTGAGAAGGGTGATGATGCTACGTTCTTCAGATATACTGTCTAGCTGACACCCCCACCTGATATTGGCAGATGCGAAGTTCTTGCATTCCGAATGCTTGGCTCGTCTGCTTGAGGGACGATATAGAGTTTGCTCCGTTGTACATTGGCTTGGAAGGACATCGTTGATAAGCGAACTGATTTCTCTTTCCTTCTCTGCGAGTTACTGTGATATCATATTATAGAAATGAAGAACTTATAGGATCCTTCCGCTTCAAGATCAGGCCTCTTTACCCACGTGTAACGAGTACATTCTCAGGTGATTGCGACTAAGTAGGCGAGGTATATTAGGTAAAACCGTGACTGGGTGGAGAGGTGAAGATTAATTGCTTTTTGTTTCAGGCCACTCTCCGCAACATCCAAGTCAGCCTCAACCTACTCGTTCGTACCTTCCACTTGTTAGCATAGGTGGTTCGTGAAAGCGAATGGGCCACGGAAACCGTCGGGCCAAGTATTTACATAGTAAATTTGTATGGGAGGTACTTCATGTCAGCTGGCCCGTGGCACAGGTTTAGCGAGGAACATTAATTCAGGGGGGAGGGGGGTTCGCTTAAAATAAGCGAGAAGGTCAATTGGAGCCGGAGGGGATTAGCTCTCGTGCTCTCACGTAGTTATATGCTCGTTTCACGCGATGCTTAAAGTAGCTAATTTTTGCTAAGATTCGCCAAAACTTGGATTTCGCCTACAACATACCGGTTTTCTACCTTGTTACCTTATAATAGTTGAATTGCTTCCTTTACCCATGCTTTCCTCTAAGAAGTATACAAATTACTTCTCGGCAATAAAGCAATCTTGTAATGACTAGAGAGTTATAGAAGAGTAGAACCAGTTGGAGAAGCCTCGAATCGGCCTTGATTCGATGCCGGGATGGCGTGGGGAAGCTGTCGCGGCGTGTTTTGAACGCCGTCTTACACGTCCGAAGCTTCCCCGCTTCGCTAGCCGCCAAGTGCGCATTGGACTTCAGCCGGTTTAACATTCGAGTTTCAGCTTGTTCAGCTTCCACCGCTGCATACAATACTGTCTAAGTACTCAAACCTCCCTTTCTTACATCCATTTTTGAACCCGGCACATTTCAATACGATCAGATTATACCCCGAAGTCCATCTGTGAGGGCTCCCACCGTTACAACTGAACCTTCTAGCTGCCAGCTTCGAGATCAAAATCGATTTGCCTGGTTATTTTTTTTCCGCCTTGTCAAAGTAATAGGTACGAAGAGGCGGTACTCTGCGGCACGTTTCATACTTAGTTTTTCACAGCATCGAGCTGTCAACAGTGCTTTGAAAGCGCCATCGTTCCGTGTCCAAGGAGAGCTTGTCTTATCCCGCTCAGAAACACGTTTTGTCGCTCCGATATAATGGACCGATACCAATATGAGCCGCTGTCTTCAAGCGGCAAACAGATCCGACTCGTGATTCTACACCCCCTCGTGCCGTCCCGCCCCGAGGAGATCCGGGTGAGCATCTTCGAAGCCCCCCTGGAAGCTGAACGCCGCGTCTTGTACAAAGAGTTTATGGCTTTATCGTACGTGTGGGGGGATACAAACGATAGACGAGATCTCATGCTCGTCGGTTAGGCGGCGATCCCACCCCCAAGCGTCTCTCAGTAACTGCCAATCTAGCGGAAGCACTGCCATACCTTCCATGGCCTGATAGTTGCAGGACCCTCTGGATCGATGCTATATGTATAAACCAGGAGGATATGGATGAACGAGCCGAACAGGTGAAGTTAATGGTAGAGATATACACGTCGTCGAAACACGTGCTCGCGTGGCTCGGCCCGTCTACGCACGACAGCAATGTGGCCATGAACTTGCTGCACTGGATCAGCGACTCAATCGACGTAGACTGGATGTCGTTCGAAATCCATAACAAGGAATTACAAAGGACCGGGGGCGCGGAGTTCATATACTTCAAGCTTCTCCTGGACCTGAACTTCAAGTTGCCCTGGGACGGCCCAGAATCCCAAGCCCTCGAGAGCCTGTTCAACCGGCCGTGGTTCGAGAGGCTGTGGATCCGGCAGGAAATCACTCTCGGGGCACATGGTGCCGCGTTGATATGCGGTTCCTCGTCGATCGACTGGACCGCGTTCCGCAAGGCAGCCATTTTTCTTAATAAGAAGATCAAGGACTCCAGTCATCCACGATTTGACCACTGGAGGGCGAGGACCGCACTCGTGTCCGATACCTGCCTACATGGTCAGACGTCGCTTGGGAAAATGCTCCGCCAAATGCAGCGGACGGCGTGCACGGATCCCCGCGATCGAGTCTACGGTATCATGGGCATTTTGCCGCCCGAGTCGCTCGGATTGGCGGAGAAGATACGTCCTGACTACCGGAAACCCGTGGTGTTGGCCTACCAGGAGTTCCTCCTTGGCGAGATGGAGGTGACGGGCCGGGCCGACTTGTTGTCGGAGTGTCTCATGCCCAAAGACTTGTCTTCCACCTCCACCTCTACTTCCACCACCCCGACCTGGGCTCCCTCTTGGATCTCGAATTGGACTGTGAAGCGGGAGTGGGACTTTCTGATGATGAACCAGAGCGCCGATGGCCAGTCGGCCGTGGCGGCCTTCTACGCGGATCAGGGAACGTTGCGAATCAAGGGCGTCCTCGTAGCCACTGTAGTCGACGTGCTGGAATTCCCACCACTATTCGTCGGCACGAAGGAGAGCAAGAACAACAATATTGCGGACCAGCCTCCAAGTACGCCACCAGTAGTGGCTCTTGTCAGGGAGATCGCGGAGAAGCTCGATCTCTCGGAGACAGCACATTACCGCCCATCACGCGGCAGTACCATCCTCGAAGCGCTCTGCTATGTATTCTCGGGCGGTGGCTTTCTCACGAACCACCTTTCGGCCGAGATGATTAACGTCGCCACGCCGAGCATGGCACAGTTCAAGCGCTTCGTTAGGTTCGCGCTCGAATTTAATGAGCATGATGCGTCCGCTCGAAAAGGGCCCGATCAGGAAGTCCTGCTATGTCTTGGCAGCATCCTCAACGCCTGCAGGGAGCGCGCGCTGCTCGTCACAAGGGAAGGCTATATCGGGGCAGGACCCGTAGCTGCACAACCTGGGGACAAGATTGCTGTGCTGCTGGGGTGTATGCGGCCCTTGGTCCTGCGGCGGCAAAAGAGGCTGAGGAATTTCACCACCACCAGCAGCGATACTGGACATGATGGTAATGCTAATACGTACGCTGTCGTCGGGCCCTGCAATTCACACGGCTTGAATTGGGGAGAGGCCTTGCTCGGCCCCCTACCGGACGGCGTGACTTTTATCTGGAACCCTTCTGGGCCTTATGGGGACGTGGGTCCTGCGTTTGGAAACAATCGCGCGGGAGAGGAGTGTGTAGCAGACCCTAGGGTTGACTGGGACTTGCTGAAAACTGACAGCAAGGAACACTCGTTTGTGCAGAGGGCGGCGGGTCCAGGTGAGGCGGAGGGAGTAACATACTATAGGAGGCCGGATGCGGCATACTTTGAAAGGAAGGGCGTTACATTGGAGAATCTCGATTTTGTCTAGTGGCTGTGGAGTGTTGGTTGCCAAAATCGAAAAGGGGGATAGATAGGAGGAAGCAGGACAACGCGGTGAGGATAGAGTCGTCTCGTCGGTTTAAAGGATAAAAATTCGCCGTGCTCTTCGGTGCATACATTGTGGCTAGAAGATAGTTCTGGCCAGGTTTGTTGAAATGCAGTCGCTGAGTGCGAGCGCCCTGGAAATAACTAAGGTAATCTCATCGAATTTAAACTAGCCATCGTGCTAATTCTAAGAGTTCTAAAGCTTATCTTACTAATACTAGAACCTTAAAAGGCTAGGGGCACGCTGTCACGCGCCTCCGGTGCGCAATAGCGTGCGAAGCTTATGCGTATATCTAGAGCGCGCACGTGTGTGCGTTAAGGATATACTTTTTTTAAGCGATTATAAGGGGTAAGAGAGGGACGTACTTCTTGCCTACCTTTTGTGCATGTACCGGGGGCTAAAGAATAGCTGAAAAGAAAGCCTTACTTTACGACAAAATTGCAAAAATTAGCTTGCTAAGTGCGGGGAAAGGGGGTTAGAAGGAAATCAAACTCTCAAATGCATAAGCACTTGTTCCAGGGTCTGCCCAGAGAGGGTGCTTATGCATTCTAATCAGAGTTGGCCTCCTACCATTACTGCTTTGGGCGTATATCCATGTTATAGGAATACTACGCGAACAAAACAGAAATTTTACAGGGGTTGGTAAGGGCACACTGTTTTTGTATCTATCCTCCCTTCCTTCTAACGGGTTAGTCACCATCGCTGTTCGGCTCAGGCGCTACTCACCCTCGCCTCACCCTCTGGTCAGGCTGTTTTAATTACGTGCCTGCTCTCCCTTCTAGTGACTAATCACGATTTACTTATATATTCGGTTCTGCCGTGGGAAAGTTGTCAACTCTACACGACTACATTCGGGGACCACATCGACTCCTGAGAGGGAAAATGTAAACCCCCCCGCGGGGGGGTCGATTAGGGCAGGGGTGTCGATAAACTTGTAATTGGCTATCTAAGCTCTTCAAACATCTTAAATCATATTTTTAATATAAATATAAGCCAGCATATTATAAACCTAATATTATAATTATATGCTTTCTAACTTATAATAAAAAATATTCTTAAAATAGAAATTTAATTTAAGCGAGTTTATATACTAATTAATTAAGTTCTAGTTTTTAAACCCTATAAAACTCTATAAATTAGGGGCTTATAAGGTTCTTATATTTGGTTTTAGGAACTTATTTGCTAAATTTCTAGGCTTTCTTAAGCTTGTCTTTAAACTATAAAATATAAAAAATTTAACTTCTTTAATTTAAAGAGCTATTATTAAATCAAATTTTATAAAAAAATTATATTTAATTAGCGCTTAATTAGCGCTATAAGAAATAAAACAAGCATTAAATTATATTAAAGAAAAAGCTAGAGTTTTGGTATTCCTGTCCGAGCGCCTCTACTTTAGATTAGTCCGGCCCCCAATCGACACCTGGGGGGGCCGGGGGGGTCGTTTTACATTTTCCCTCCTGAGGCACCCAAATAGGATCCCCCAAAAATATATCGTTTAATCTCCAGGCAAAGCCTTTTCGCAATATAGCATGGCCTAGCACTTTTCAAGGAGTTTATCCAATAGCTGCCCCTCTAGAACTCGGCCTAGCCGTGCAAATCTATACCCGTCTATCCAAATTCTGACGCGGCTAGCACGACCTTACGCCCTCCTATGCCGGCCAGGCCAAATTCGCCCGTGTTGTTATCCCTTCGTCCGGTGAGACATCGCCACATTAGCGCCGCACACGAATATCCCTAATTCGGATTATGTTCTGGCTGAATTAGAGATTTTCGTATGCGGCCGTTAATGTGGCATATGTCTCACTGGATAAAGCTAAATTCTTTCTTTTTCATTTAATAATTAGTTTTTTTTAAAAAAAAAATCTTTCTTTCTTTCTTAAAAGAAATAAGTTATACTTAAAAAAAAATATTATAATATATTTTTTAAATTAAGAAATTAAAATAAAAAAGCTTATATTACTAAAATTTTAAATTAGATAAAAAAGAAAAGAAAGAGAAAAAACTCTCTTGAATATTATATAATTTATTAAAAATGTATTTCTTGGTCTTATAATAGCAGGATCGAGGCAATGGCCAGGGCTCAAAGATCCAAGAATCTCATGTATTGAAAATACTAGGCTAAAGAGAAGAAGGAGAGAGAGAGAGAAGGAAAGGGGATAAAAGAAGGGAAATATTAGCTAAAACCACTGAAACGCCGGCTAGCTAGGTGAAACCAGTCATGTGACAGCCACCCCCATATGGCCCCCAGCCAGCGCCGTCACAGGTCTGGTATAACCAGGCTCGGCAATAATACCTGAGGCATTAATACCGGTATTAATAGTATTAGGTATTTTTCAGGTATTATAAGAATTAATACATATTAATATCTTATTAATTCTTACTCCTAAAAAATTATTTCTTTATTTTATTATTTTATTTATATAAGAATATATTTATATATAATTCCTTTTATTTCTAGTCTTTCTATTAAAAAATTTATTTACTATTATTAATAAAATTTAATAATATCTTAAATTTAAAATACCTCTTATATTTAGAGAATTAAGCCCCGTATTCGTATTTCTTATTAATGGAACGAGGCTCAAAGATCAATGATTTCCTATGTCTTGAGAATCTAAAGCTAAGGAGAGAAGGAGTGAGGTGTGGCAGTGGATAAGTAGGTATGGCCAAAACCACTGAAACGCCGAGCTTTGGAAGCGAGCTTGGTTTGAACCATAGCTTGGAACCTTAGCTGAAACCAACCCCTTTGGCTGAAACCACGTCCGTATCAACCATGTGACACCAGCCGTCACAATTAAGGTACTAAATATATAAGCAAGCCTTACAAAAATCTCAAAAGCTCATTTCTACTTAAAATAGCCGCATTGAGATTAGTTTTAGCCTAAAGTATAAGATAAGTAGCTAGATAGAAAGCCTAAATCAAGGAGAATATTTATACTACTAAAAGTTTTCTAATAAGAGAAGTAGTTCGAAAGTTAATTATAATTAAAAGGGAAAATTAAGTTCAGGGAATTAATACTACTATTAATACTATTAATATCTTATAATTCTGGCATTAATACGTATTAATACCGGAAATTTAGGTATTTTTACCGAGCCTGAGTATGACCTGACAAGGAAATAGTATAGCAGGAGCAGAGGCAGGAAAAGAGACTCGATTATATTAACTAAAGAGAGAAGAAGAAAAAAAGAGATCTCAGACTCTTATAAAGCTATAATCTCGCTAGTCTATGCGGCAGTGCCACGTCCGCACGTGACACCATGTGACCTGTCTTCTTAACATAATTACTAGTAAATTTAGAAGGCTTTAGTAAATTAAAAAGAAATTATAAAAGTTATATAATTAAATATTATTAAATATTTAATAGTTTTATAATAATTATAAATATAAATATAAGAATATATATTAGCCTCGTTAATAAAAAGCTTTTATAGAAGTTTATTATATAAAGAATACTAGTTATATAGTTATATCTTTAAATAAGAAGAGAAGAGAGGTGTGGCATAAATAGCCGGAGCTAAATACAGTGAATGTGTCACGTGTAGTAAGCTCACGTGACCAATCTGCAGTTGCTATGGTGTTGAAATTAGGGGCCTGAGGCCCCTAATAGGCTTAGTAAGCCCTGGAACCGAACGCCATGGGGCTGTGCACTAGCTTAATACCCTGTCCAGCTGGAATACCCTGTCCAGCTGGAATACCCTGTACGGCTGGAATACCCTGTATAGCTGTAATCGGTTCAGCTGGCATAGGGATTTAGTACATGTGACTTAGGGGGTTCAGGGCTATATATACGGGCTACTTACCACTGTAGAACAGCAGTCAATTCAGTATCGTTTACTTGGTTTACATTGCAAGCACGTGACCCTAGCTTTATTACTTAGCTAGTTCAACATATGGAACCGAGTAGTTATCGAAAGGATTCGTCGTCGTATCGTTAAAGGAGATAATAGTGGATTTAATCTTAGCCCTAATCCTCTTAAAGGAGAGGCGTAATCGGTGGGCCGATTGCGACAGGTTTCCAGCTTGCACCACGAGGAGGTGTTGAGTCGTCGCAAGCCGTAGCTAGTTATTTAGGAACCTCCTCCTTCGCCCGATAATTGAGAATACTGGTTTTCTCGCCCCCCTTCGAGCATGAGGACAGGTGGGTCTTCAGGTGGTGCTGTACAGTACCCCGATGGACTTGGGCTGTATATTGAGAAGTTTTATCACCACTATTGAAGCAGGGCTAGGCCTATTTTGGCAAGACTCTCAATCTTAGACTTTAGTTTAGAAATTTACCGTATTTTTGAAGTCAACAAACCCTCTTAACCCTACCGCTACCCTAACTTAACGCCTTGACCCGCAACCCGCTAAGACCCGGTATCCGGCATCCGTTCCCACGGACTTAGGCAAGCGCCAACATCAAACCAAGGTTCTGTACTGCACCTGGTTCGTTTATTTTGCGCAACACTGCTTTTGGTGGCGAGTGAGGTTCTTTTTTGCCGTGTACGATTTTGGACAGTTGCTGCAGGTGAAACTCAGATTACTCCTGGGCTTATGGTTAATCCTGATATGCGCTTGGAGTTCTCGATCTTCTGCAGTTCCTTTCCAAGCACAGTAAATCGGGTAGTATGGGCACTGCTTCGGTTTTATGTGTGTCTTCAGGTGCTTTCTAAAAGCCGTTAGCGTCGAGGCCGCGGACGAATATAAGTAAGTTGAACGAACTTCAACTCGCCTGCAGTATACTCTTTGTGGGACTGACGGCAGTCAGGCCAAGAACAATAGCTCTTCATGTCTATAACTGGAGTTCTGCCGTTGTGTGATTCGGTTGTGGTAGTCGAGGCACTATAAGGAATGCAAGGGAACTGAGGGGTTGCATTCTGGTATGCAGGAAATGAAGTATTGACGTGTGTTCTGTCGTCATGTCGAGTGAGACTGTTGTGACGATCTTGAGGAGGACTGAACTGTGCAGAGAAGCTAGGCAGAAGAGCAGTAGAGTCGCCCTGCTGCATTTCATCTGGAATCTATGAATCTAGATGATGGATCCCCGAAGAGTTCACAGGGTTTTGGAAATTCAAAATAGTTCTTGTGCTCGGGCTGACGTGGTCGGGAGGTGGTTGGGCTTGGTATATTTGGGTAAGCTGGGCACCCACTACGCTGTCAAAAAGTGGCAGAGTATGCGGGACTGGCCATAGATGTTCACTAGTAATCGCCTCGGGCGCCTCAAATATGACTTGGGGGTAAGGAACTGGTGCTGGCAATGCACTATCGCCCGCTGTAACTAGGATGTTGCTCAGCAAATACTTCACCTGGGATGGCAAACTGTAAAGGGGCATACTAGCTTCGCCTATCCGTTCCGCAACATTCAAGGCCACGGTTCCACCTTCTGTGTATCCCACAGGCATACGCTCCTGGTACGGGTCAAGTTCTACGTTTTCTGTTGCCGTATTAGCCGCTTGGATCCAGAAGAGTGAATTTGAGACTGCTGGACTACTACTGGCCACAGAGAACAAGTGTAGTTCCAGATGCATTCCATAGTATATAGGCGACAATTCTCCATGCTTCTTACCTCCCAGGTCAAATTGCATACCAAAGTACGCCACAACGGTCGATTGATCCATTCTCCTAATAACCTTTAAAAGGGATGGACTTGAAGAGAGGCCAAGAAAGTTTAGAAAGGGTGAATATGTAAATACGCAGTGAATAATGACGGCAGAGTAGGGCTTTTCTTAGAGATGTTCCAAGTCTTGACGCCTGCCAGCTTCGCCCAATGCCCCATCATCCAAGTTCCCAGGGATTATAATATCTAAGGTCGGGAGCACCATGGGAGCCTTATAGCCTAGGAAAAGGAATCGATCTCCACAAAAGCGGGCAGAAATATGGTCGACTTCCACTCAAGTCATTCGTTAGCCAATGCGTTGTACACATAAAATTATTCTGGTGATATTCACCGAAAATGTTCTAATTCGTCCTGCTTGTCACCAAATTGAAGTAGCCTTGCCGGTTCGCCTAGATCCAACGAGTTCATGGTCTCCAAATCGTTAGCTGCAATGCCCGCATGAGCCCTGCCACTAAAAAATGATGCATGCGCTGTAAGCCTCGCTATTTTCCACGATATGTGATGTGGCTTCAATCGGCTTGTTCCGGCCAAACTCACCGAGAAATACAACATTCTATGTCGTCCTATCCCGAAGCGAAGAAGCCATGTCGGCATTACGGGCCACGTCTGCTTCTCTAACCTGGCAAATGAGCCATGTTTCCAAGGACAGCGACTGTGCGAGGCCTCCCTCTATGCACGAGGCCCAGACTTTCTGAATGCAAGAGGCCCCCGCTTATGCATGAGGCCCAGGCTTTCTGAATGCAGGAGGCCCCCGCCTATGCATGAGGCCACCCGCCTATGCAAAAGGTTCTCTGGTCCGCCAATTGTACTAAATCTGCCCACTACTCAGTATCTTTCGTCGCCAAAAAAGGAGGCAGAATTGCTAGAATTGGTCCAAATGTATTCTGGACTCGCCAAACGCGTTGAAGAGCACCAGAGGTGAGGCTTTATTGAGGATACTTGTCTAACTGTAAGATGCAGTGTGAGACGCATTTGTAGTATATTTGGGCGACGAAGATAATTGGCAAAAGAAGTAGGTGGTCAGCCAGAGGATCTACTTTCTACTTAGGAACTCTTTGATCTCCTTTTTATTTTCGGTATATAAAGGCTATCTGCGATCTTCTGGAACATGATTGAGTAGTGAAAGGGTTAAGGAGACGACCGCTAATGTACCTATCCCTCTACCCTACACCACTATTTTTCATCTCCACTTCTACTATCGATACTTTAGTCCCTCACCTCTTCGCTATCCTACTCAGCTGTCAGTTACCGTAGTACGTCGCAATGTCTCAGACAGGTGAGAGGGAAAGTATGTACCTGCCTTTGTGCTCAATTTATCGTATCGGTTATACGGTCTACAAATATCACAACTCGCTAACAGTAGCCAGACGAAGCAATTGGTCCCATTTTTGCGGAACCCGTCGTTGTCTCGGCAAAGACGCATCGTCGTTTTTACGAGGTTGTCGTTCTTCTGCTAGCATTGAATGAAGGCTACAGAGGCACTGCCAGCAAGAAGAGCAAGGATCTTCCCCATAGCACAGGAGAAGATTCTGACGAACACTTGTTCCACAATTTTGTTTCCAGGCTGGGCCAAATCTGTGACTCACGCCCAGGCGGGTCTACTGTCACGGCATTTGCGGTTCTACAGCAGCCAGACAGGGTGGAATACGTATTCGGGTCCAATAGAAGGAAAGAGGTGGAGCTGGAGACGACCAGAGCTTACATTCGCGCCATTCTCACCAGCCTCAGGGAGTCCACATACTGTGAAGATGACGATCAACGTGAGGAATATCTGAGCAACGTTCTCCGGGATGTTTTGATGTTCAACCGTGACCGTATTCGTCGTTACTTGAATGGTTTGACGACTGCCTTAGAAGCCTGCATTGCGATTCGCGAGGCGGAGAGTTCGTCGACTGGTGAGTTTGAGACTTGCCATTTATTTGATCCCTGTTTCTAATCTCAACCGCTTTTAAGTTGTGTCTCGACAGAAAAGCTTTGTCCGAATGCTGGAATTGGTTCAACTTGCCAACCAGAATGATAACGACGACGATGAATGTAAGTTTCGCTAACTCTCCAAATTCCCAGTTACACCGACCAAGATTGACATGACATGGAATGACGCAGTCTTGGACCACACCGAAGGGCTGATTAACGCCTTACAGAGCCTGCAAAAGCCTGTCACAGCCCTGTTCCTTCGAAAGAGAGCAAGCAATGATAAGGCTGGGAACACAAAACCTTGGCAAGATCTTCAACACCACTCTTCCAGACTCTTGGCCTATAGGCGTGCTGTTGAGGTGCTCTGGGAATCCAGTTGTATGTGGCCAAGTCTCTTCGATACCTTCGAAGTTACATGTATTCCATCAAGCAGTAAAGCAATTAATCCGCTCAATACATGCCCACAAACGGCATCAGAGATCCTCGCCCGTATGGTACCCAATTCGGAAACAAAGGGCAAATTTCTGGACCTGGCTGAGACTATGCAACAAAACTTCGATCTGGACAAGACGATTGAAGATGAGTGGACCAGCAGCAACTTCCACCCTATTGTCCATGCCGAGATCCTTGTCCACAGCTGGCTCGAGAAGACTGGTGGCACGAGGCCTGAGCGGTTCTTCCAGAACTGGCAATACATCGGCTGTAGCAAGCCTGTTTGCAAGCTGTGCCACTACTATTTCACCAGTCACCCCAGCGGTGTTCAGATCCGGGGCACACATGGCAACTTGTACCGCAACTGGAGAATGCCCGATTATGCCGACGTTTACTCCCTACGCACGAAAGAGGAAGCCCTCGCGAAACGTCACGAGATTTTGCGAGGCATCATGAGTCACCTTCGGCAATGTGTTCTAAGAACTCTCAGCGAGAAGACCACTGACTCCAGGCCGTGTGACTCTAATACCATATCCTCCTTTGCACTCAACGATAGTCATATTGGCATGGGTGTTCGAAACTCAAACTTGTTTGTGCCTAGAACACGTTTGAACAGTTTAACAGGGGCCGAGCCACAAACTTGGGTGTTCAATGAGGACTGGGAGGCAATGGATGGCGAGAGTGAAACTACAGATGGAGTCAAGGGGAGCTGCGAGGCATCGAATTAAATTAACCATGAGGAGCTAGAGTATTGAGTCACTGGCGGATCTCCTGGCAAGACTGGAAAGTCCTTGCACAGCTGGCATGAATTGTGGCAGGTTTCTTCTACTCTACACACTCCATCGTTGATGTTAGCAGAGGCTATGGGAAGCTGGAGGTGTTGCAGAGAGTAGGAAGGCGAGGACTGGAAGGAAGTTTGAGAGCAAGTTCAGAAGGCCACCGGGAAAACTTTAATGAGGGTCCGTTCATATTCACTCGCCACTTCCTCAAAAGTAAAGGTGACCCGACTGAAAGCCACAGAACTTTCGAGTATTTCTATTAGTCTTGCTTCACATGTTTTCGAAGGTGAAACTATTTCAAAACAACATTGATTAAGGAGATCGATATGCAAATGCCAGATTATTGCCCAGCTTTCTCTCCGCATTCCTGTCACTGATCACCCGTCCCCTTCCCATCCCCTTTTTTCTTTTCTCCACCGCTGCCACCAACCATCTTCCAAAGTCCACCCACAGCGCCACTGATAGCACCTATCAGAGGGTTCGAGCCTTGGGGAGGATATTTCTTCCCATCTCTCTCTATTTTTGGCTCACACTAAGAAAGTATCAGCCTCCACCTTTGTCGAGGAAATTAAAATTAGGGCCGGAAAACAAAAAAAAAAGAGGGGAGTTACACTGCATCTCTCATTTGCAGGGATACTATCCATTACGCCTGGAACATGAGCTCCGCAGCCCGACCAGGTTGCTTTCTCTGTCATAGATGTCAGGGTCCACGACTCCACGTCCTTAATCTGAACGGAATTATAAGGAAACACGAGGGAGGAGTGAAGAAAAAATTGGGCAGGGAGAATAACGTACGGCAAGTTGAGCAGGTGGTTTTCATACACATCTTGACTTCTTATCTTTGCGTCTTGTAATCCAGGTGAAGGTACTGAGAGATTAGGGGTGCAATGGTGGTAACGGTCTTTCTCCTGAAAGTAAACGTGTTTGTGTACTTGTCCTATTTCGGATGGAGGATATTGCGATCTGGAAGAGGGAAGAGGTTGCTGCTTTATAGGAAGTGGTCACCGAACTTGAGACATGGATAGATCGTGGCGTCGGGATCTACGGCCGGCTAGATTAGCGAGGTCGCCGATAAAAAGGGGGGTTCATGTAATACTTTCTCAGACCACGACTTTTAGACATGAGACTTTCGCTCTTCCTCTCAGTATTGAGATATTATCACTGGCTCTCAGAGGCTTCGCTACAATAAGTCCCTGTGAGAAAACGAGAGTTCCAGGTCGAATGGTCTTAAAAACACAAGATCCATTATTTCCATAGCCTTCCACCCTATAATTGCATACCTAGCTTGTCCAACGAGCATCACCATCGCGTGTCAGAAATAGTTCAAAGTTCTTGGAATTGTCTTCCCCATGGCCGCGGTGGTCCTAGCGCTTGCGCTTGTAGGTGATTTCCCCGTCACTGTCGCTTGTGGTGGAGAGTGCCAGGGTGAGATTTCTATACTTCTGGATCTCTGCTCTTCCCACTTGATAAATTCTGGCTATATATTGCGACAACGACAAAAGCGATATGGGTTTTCCTAAGGTTCTGCTCCGAAGATGTGCGATCGGCATGTGTAATAGTATGAGTTGTTTACTATTAAAACAAGTCGTTGTGGAACACACCAAGGGGTTGGTGCGTTCCCTTGGTTCAGCACCATTGGTTATGTTGGGAGGGTGGAGGAACTTACTTCGGCGGGGAGTTCTTGGATGGCGGCAAGGGAGGCGGTGGTGTAGTGGAGGGCGGCGTGCAGGGCTGTTGCAGAGTTGTCGGAGCCGGCGAGGCTGTATATGGGAGTATGTATTAGCAGGGATGTGGTGTGGCGTGAGAATGAGTTAGGAGGTGAAAGGGTAGGGAAGGTATAGTACTTTTGAAGAACAGTTGCCGGCTGGGCTTCTCTTTGCGTGAGGCCGTGAGCAAGGAAAGGCCCAGGCATGTCGTGCTTGATATTTTTATTTGGAGAGAATCGTTCTGCAGCTGCTTTCTTCCTAATCCTAATGAGAGAAACGTACACGTTAGTTTCGAGGTAAGGAGCGTTGAAGGGAGGGAGAGCGAACCCCATCAACTTTCCCAAGCCGATTTTATCCGTCTCTTTCGGGAGAAATGGCCTAAAGCGCTTCTAAAAAAAAATTTACTTGGCTAGTGCAGGCGACGTCCCAATCAGCTTAATTAATAGAAGCATATCCTCTATCGTCTTTATATAAGAGATATTTTTATCTAACTCTAGATATTTGTTGTCTTTACCGGAATACTGGAGTTTTTGTGAGCTATGATGCGAAGGATTGATTGAACATGCATAAAGGACATACCCCTATTACAGCCTTAGATCGAATCATATTTTGACGTTCCTGTTGCTCTCCGAGAACATGGAATCATATTCCGGCTCCTGGGGCGCGGCGTCATACCATTCAGAAGGCGTCCAAGGTGATCTCATGGCGGACACCTGCCTCAGAATATTAGGGTCGCCTGTGGCGAGCTCATTTGGCCCTCTCCGTTCGATCGGACCTAGGATTGAGGGCTCATTATCTACTGCTTCGCTAACTAGTATGGGATTAAAGGTCAGGCTACAGGCACTAACCGTATTTCTGGCATACCTCAGCAGGATTTAGATGGAAGCGGCCGGCCAAGGCCTTCCTGGTCTGCCAGAACTTCGACCACCTAGCCACGGCGGGGCCTGAGGCGTGTCGTAAATGAAGCCACGTGCGGACCCTGGAGATGACAGAGGCGGGACAGCAGGCGGGACACGGTGCAGGGTCGGCCCGGGGAAGCAACGCCATAGGGCAGTCAGTGTGTCAAAGGATTATTCAAGTTATTCGAGTTATTCATGAATAATTCATGAATAACTTGAATAAAATAAGAGTAACGAATATCTTAAATAATTTGAGTAAAATAGAATAATTATTCATGAATAACATGAATAACCATGAATAACCACGTGAAAGTCACGTGAAAGTCAATTAATTATAGTAAATTGACATATATTTAAATTTAAAAAAAGGAACTAAGGTATTTATTAAGCAGCCTTATATAAGGCTACTTAAATACAGATTTTCTATAATATATAAACTAATTATCGCTAAGGTTCGATCCGCTTACCAAGCGCCACTACCACCTGATTGGGTAGCGAGGTGGCGCTAGGTGGCGCTAGGTGCGGGCCCTCCCGGAAGCCCTACCCGATTAGGCTAGCTCAATCACGTGCAGAGATCACGTGCGTCATTTAAATTATTCATGATTATTCATGAATAACTTGAATAATATATGAATAAAATAAGAGTAACGGCCGTTATTCTATTCTACTCTATTCATTTGACACACTGAGGGCAGTGGGCTTTCACCGCTCAAACATCTCGTTGGTATCGACGCTGCACTGCTGCAGTTATGGACCCAGGGTTGCTAAGCGTTCGGCAGTTCTCACCTAATATTGCCTATTAGGGGAGAACAAGCGATGCGCAAGAGCCAGCGATACGCAAATCCCACCCAAATTTGTGTGGGTAAATCGCTCAAACCACGAAAACGCCTCATACTTTTGTTCTTTAAATTTAATAAGCAGCTACAAAACCTGGGATGGACTTGAAATATACGGTTTACGTAACCTTTTAGAACGTTGCGTTGTAATAATAAAAAAAGGGTTGTTTTTGGTGGAGTTCTCACATTTAAATATCGCTGGGATCTGCATATTGCTCTTCCTCACCTGTTACTTAAATTAACTGAGTAAAAGGTGAGAACTGACGAACGACTATTGCGATTGTTGAAGTTAGTAGGGATTAGACAATTTAATTTGATTTATATAAAATAATATTAATATAGGTTTTATAGTGTTCTTGCAGTAATAGTGCAAGAAATAGAGGAAAACCAGAGATTAGAAAAGAGGACTAAAAACTGAAGATACTTACCTAATTAATATTAAAGAAGAGAAGTTTGGATGATTGTGCGAAGCTCTGTCCGCACGTGATAATAAACCTGGTGATTCTATTAGTTTAGAGCAGGTTCTAGCCTATTTGAGAAGAACACCTATAAATATCTCCATTTATTATATAATATTATTGTAACCTCATAAATCTATCCATAATAATATTGGTCTCCTTAAATTCTTACATATGCCACCCCAACTAAAGTTGCCCCCACCGGGATGCTGACCGGCTTCTGGTGGGGGGAGGAGAATTGCTCGAACCGACTTCCCTTTTGGTCCCTCTCCGACGCGAACGGCCCTAGTGTATTGGTTGTATCGGCGAGCTGCACCCAGCACCACCAATACTGCACTGCAATTGCTGAATGGCTAGATAGCTGGATAGACCGTTGTAATACAACGCAGCCCCCTCCTCTCCTTGTCAGATAACTGAAAGTCGGCACGGGAGACCACTGCCCAGGGTTGCACGGGAAGGCACTAGATTGCGCACATAAGAATGCGATGCTGCCATTTCTCCACTCTTCTCCGAGTCCCAGATCCTGAGATTCTCTCGAATGCAACTTCAGCAAGATGTCACCCCAAGAGACCCTCTCTCCAGTAGTTACGGGAGCTAAAGCCCAGGCGACAGCGGCTGCTACACCTGAAACCAGAGCGGCCACCGAGTCGGACGCCCCCATCGCAACACAGGTGCTTGCTGCCGATGATACTGTTTGTCAGCCCTCGCTTTCTTTCCCCACGCAAGGAGCGATTTTGACTGACAATCCCTTCTCCCCTAGCTGGACGACGATAATGATTCTGCGATTGGAGGGGTAATTTCTTCCTTCCTTCCATCCATATTCTTGGAGCAAAAGTGACACCTCCCGAGGATTCTCTGAGCTCGACTGCGTCAATCGCTTCCTCCATATACAAGTTCCGAGTCGAGAATGGGAGGACCTACAATGGTTACGGAGACCGCAGTACGTACGGCCTGGCCCCTGGATTTCATTCAAAGTAGGCTTTTTGCTGACCGTTAGGTTTGCAGGGTACTTTATGCCAAATGATGAGGCATGTGTTCTCCCTCTTCAATAAATATCTTGTCTTAATAGTCGATTGTACAGGTTGAGCAAGATCGGCTGGGTACCTATTACTGCTCCTTTCAAGCCACACAGCTCAATTTAACTAAACACGTGCCAGATTTGCAACATCATTTGTTCCAACTGACTTTCCGTGGCGGGATGTTCACCGCTCCTATTGACAGGAAGAAAGTCCACCGCATTCTTGATGCTGGAACTGGAACCGGTATTTGGGCAATTGATATGGGTATGTCCTTCTCTCCTCTCTCTCGTTGAAAAAAAGAGGAAAAGGAATTAACTAGGAGGGAATTGAACAGGCGATATGTGTCCTGAAGCAGAGGTAGGCAGCGTTGCCTTAGAATCACATCGTGGGCCCGTACTCAACACATACTAATCTAGACCAGGTCTTCGGAGTCGACGTCAGCCCCATTCAACCACAATTGTAAGATCAAATCTCCCCGAGATATTATGCTATTTTCCTATTCCCTATTCCCCAGTTGCTATTTAATGGCGATGTGGTAATTGTGGCTCTTGCTAACGAGGGATCCCTGCTAAGCGTACCCCCGAACGTCAAATTCGAGATCGACGATCTGGAGAAACCATGGACCTTCACCTCAGGCTTTGACTTTGTCTTCAGTCGCATGATGACCGGTTCGTTCCCCGATTGGAGGCAATACATAAACCACTGCTATGAGTAACCCCCCCCCCCCCCCCCCCCCCCCCCAAAAAAATAACACTCTCCATCTGTGCCAATTAACAAAACGAAAAGGTTCACCAACCCAGGCGGCTACTGTGAAGTACAAGACGTTTGTCTCCCCGTGCGCTGCGACGACGACACCCTCACCAACACCAACCTCGAGAGGTACGGGAATCTCATGTTAGAAGGGAGTTTGAAATTGGGCGTGGGGCTAGATGTCGCATTGAAGACGAAACAATGTATGGAAGAGGCTGGTTTCGTAGATGTTAACCAGGTGACTTATAAGTGGCCTTTGAATCGGTGGCCGGCGAATAAAGCAATGAAGGAGATTGGTATACTTTCCCTTGCCCTCCTTGTTATATTTGAAATTTGGCAACTTGCCTCAGTCGAGTCAAGTGAGAGTCCTTGTGCTGAAAAAATGGATTTTGATTCAACAGGTCTCTGGGCACACGAAGTTACAATGTCCAATTTGTCTGGCCTCAGCATTGCCCTTTTCACACATGGTCTTGGCTGGTCGGTGGAGGAATTGGAGGTCTTCCTCGCGGATGTAAGGAAAGATTTGAAGAATTCGAAAATTCATTCTTATATGCCTATGTCAGCTCTCCCCTATCTACCCACTCGGATCATTTTTTTATTTATTTGTGTGCGTGCTTACTTGTTTCGGTAGTTATGTTGTAGTTGGGAGGAAACCTGGAGCGAAGGAAGAAACGACGGTTGTTGCGTAAAGAGGGTGGAGGAAAGGAGGGTTGCGTTGTTATCCTTAAAAGAGCTGCTCTGCTCAACGCCTAGCGTCTGTTGACTGCAGGAGTAAGGTACATTCATTTTCTACAGCACACCGGTTTAGGAGCTGTTAGACCATCTTCAATTCCACAAGAACAAAATTTAAAGTTTGCACAGCTCTATCTCTCCAAATCTCAAATATTCAAAAAAAAATAATAATAATGCTCACTCACTTATCAATGCTTGAACTGAGAAGCGTTTGTCTAGTTCAACACACGCTTGTGAAAATGGCTTTGGAGGACCTGAATCACCTATCGACCACGAATAACTGCGCTCAACTTCCTCACAGCCAACAACTGTTACTGATCACAATATGCATGCCTAAATCAAGGCAGCGGGATGCAACATCAGGTTTTCTCGTGCAGCCACTCGGCACAAGCCAGTTGGGAAGCGCTGGGAGAGAGTGGGGCCAGAATTGGTCCCATGCTTTTGACCCGGGCTAGACTACCATTGATCTATGTTGACTCCGCAAAGTGAGGTGGACTTCCCTTCTCCGGAAGGGGTTACTAGTCGGTTTGTCCTCCTTTGCTCGCTTCGCTCAAAGCCTGGAAAAGCAAGTGTCCCGCGAAACTAAGTATCCCGTTGGGTAAATCCGAAGCTGGTAAAATACGCCTAAAAACGCGACTTTCTATCGCGCGTATAGCCTCCTTTGTTATAATTAATATGCTGCATTCTATTAAATATATCTGGAATCTCTCCTATGAATTTTAGTTAATTATACGATATTAACTACTTTATTATTAAATAAATACTAAAAATAATATTAAAATTCTTTAAGAGTTAAGAAGAAAAGAAGATATCTCGGCTTCATTCATTCAATGGGGGTTCTTCTATACCTCTGTCACCTGATACTTTCACAGCATTTAAGTTGGAGCGTTTTGCATCTACGAGTTGCACTGTTATGTCCAGGATTCAAGACTAATTGCTCAGTTATGTCCAGGCGCTTATATGAGATGCGTTATCCTCTTTATTTTGACCGCTTCTATGACTTGCTGTGTTCCTTCATCTCCAACATATCTGGGCACTTCTCCTTATCCTTACTTTAGGAGGACTTGTCAGGCTGTGCTTCCTTTCAATTTTTTTTTTATAGCCACTAAGCGGCACCTAACCCCTTTCTATGTATCAATTCCGAGGATCATGCCTCCAAGACTCAGTGGGCCCCAAAGAAGTCCGTGTCTACCTAGGTTCAGTCTCATCTCTCAGCCCCGATGCAACCTCCGACCCTGCAATCGACCCTGCTAATCTATGAAAGCTCTGGCGAGGTTCTGAGCTTCTTGTCTTATTAGCAAACTACTTCGAGGAAATCTTTGAGGATCTCAATGGCTTTCAAACAGGTAGCCTGAATGGCGATTTAATTGTTATATTCGGTGCAATACTTGTCACTGCTTCGGGGATTATAGCTCTGACCGGTTTGGTTCCCCGTTCAACAGGACCAAGACTTGACCAGAGTACTTTACATAGCCTTTTTGGTGTATTCTGGCGTCTTTTGGCACCAGAGAATGTATAAGTTCTGTATTAAAGGAGGTCCAACTTGAATTTCAACTTTTGGGGCTCAAAGTCGACCTTATTTATTTGATGTTGAATGTTTCCGTCAGCCAGAAAACGAGTGAGATCTAGCATTGATTTAGGAAAGGAAAAGATCGAGGCTAATGGATCTGATATCTTATTTTACTGCCTCTCTAAACAGAGCTTTCTCTTGTGCTGGCGTGAATCTAAACTAACTCTGGCAGCTAGTACAATTGTGGCGTCACTTGTCCCTGCCCCTTTTGCTGCCCCTCGGCTTAAGACAGACTCTACTGCATGTGATTCTCTTTACTCTCTTGGATAAAGCTTTAGCTTGAGTAGCTTATTAGCTTTTCAATCGATCCTTCCTATACGGTATCTAACAAATCCTAACATAGAAGGGAGTAATTTCCTGCTTGAAGCAGAGCAGCCAAGAGTTTGGAAAGAATAATAGGTGGGAGCGACACGTGACATTGTCTCACGACACGGCCTTCTGCCAGATGCCGTTTAGAAAGCATACATTGAAGAACTAAGAGGCTTTCTAAGCTGAAGCTATATACAAGAGAATCACCCGAGATGAAGCCTTTCAAGCCGAGGAGTGGAACAATGGGCCGCCCCGTCACATGACTAACTGAACCATTTTCCTATGACGAGGTGGATTGCGCCTCGAGATCTGCCGTTCTAGCTTCTGAAATGCATCTACATTTTACAAATCGAATTAGGAAGTTTGGGAAAAGAAGTATAAAGTAAGCTGCAAAAATGAGCCTATTTTCAACAACCTTTCCTCCCCTCACGGCTCCACGGCAGCATAATTATCCCGGAAGTAAGAATGTGTCAAGAACATTGTAAAGGCACTTCACTTCCAGTTTGTAATTCAAATACAATGCAAGTAAATACGGCGTCCGGAAGTAGTTTTGTAACGAGTGCGAAGGCAGGTTCTTGTTGAATTACTCCCAGTAGTCAGGTAACGAGAAAGAGGGAGCACATCACAAAAATATAACTTAAACTTGCAAAAATGAAATCATTTCATCAATCAATCAAATTTGGTATCAAAGGGAGAGCAGTTGGCTCTAAAGTACAGTATGTGCAAGAATCTTCCCGCAACGCGCTTGCTTTTCAATTCATTCATCTCTTCATTTCCATGTATCTGCCCTCTGCTGCTTCACAAAATCATCAACCAACTCTCAAATATACGCATCTGTCTTTCCTTCCTTCAATCAAAAAAGGCTCACGATGCTCGCGCGCCGCAGAGATGACACTCTTCCATCCCAAACGCCAGCCATGCTTGAATCACTCTTCCTTCCGTTTGTCTTTCCAATGCACACACAGATTCATTATGAAGGCCGCTTAACTCCAAGCCCTAAGAATCTTCCTCTTCAGCGTATTCAACGCATCCGTATCCTGTGCGCCCAGCGGCTCACTCCCCAACAGCTCCAGCAACTGATTAACATCATCCGCATTCTCATCACTGCCAAACAGGCGCGTGTTACTGCGGATACACTCCTCGTACCACTGGCCCAGCACATAAATGATGTGTTTCGCCAGGACTTGTTTCCGAATTCCAGTGAAAGGAGCAACATTGTGATACCACATGCTTTGGATGTTGGCGACAATGGATTCGAAGGGGAAGCCAACAGAGATGAAGAGGTCCTCGACCCAGGTGCGTGGGCCGACGTTGTTCTGGTATTCAATGGCGTATTGCTCGATCATGGGGATAAGGAGGGCGGGCGAGAATGTGGTTTCGGAGAGGGAGAGGCGGTGCGCCATGTCACGCATCACGTTAACGATTGCCTCATAGGGTTGTTGGGTGCCGTTGTTGTTGAGGGCTTTCTGATGTGTGGCATCGATGAGGGATTGCCAGGTGGCGCTGATGTCTGCTTCATTGCGGTGCGAGGCGGCTTCGTAGATGGTGAGGCAGATGTCGAAGTAGGATGCTTGGTCAGCGTATTCGTTGTAGAGCTGAAAAGAGTTAGCAGGGTCGGCTCGGACGAAGTGGAGAAAACATACATCCGTCAAGTTCAAGATCTGTCCATCGAGCGCCTGGACCACCGTCACCTTTCGTTCTGCTGGAACACGCTCATCGGCACTCAGTCTGTGCAGCAGCTCATCTTGAATGTTGGCGACATCAAGGAGTTCTGTGACTTCATACAACAGAACCTGGCGTGCCTGTCTGCCAATGCCTTGGCTTTGCGCCGAAGCGTTTGCCTTTGCTCTGCTGAGATATTCGACTCTCTTCGCCAGAGGGATAGCGAATTCGCTCTTAGCCAAATCGAGTTGAACAACTGCTGCCTCGTAGAAACTGTCGCGGTGGGTGTAGTATCTCCATAACAGATCAGCTCTCTCGACATCGGTGGTGGCTGATCGAGTAAGGAATTCAATCACAAATTGCGAATTGACAGCAAGAAGCATTGCTTCCCAGCCTTGGCTGAGGTACCACTCGTATAAGCCGAATTGGAAGAGTTCATCATCTGAGTTGTTGACGACATCATGAGCTTCGCTTCGTTTTGTTGCAGCAAGAGTGGGTCGACCGTCGATCACATCCGGCTCTGCGCTGGTAGCAGCATCGACGGCCATTATGACCTGGTGGACGAGATTGTAGCATTGCTTGCGGAAGTTGTAGAGAGGAATGCGAGCATCATTGGCAGGCTTCTTCTCATTGACCCATGCCAATGCTCTGTTCCCACGGTCGGATTCAGAAGCGACATGAAGAGCCAGGCTGATTGCACCAGCGTAGAATCCAAGGGCTGTGTATTGATCGGCAGCATTCTGAAGAGTCTCAAACGAGAGAGAGCCAGCCACATCATTGAAGAGTCGAAGACTTTCATTGAGATGGGTGCGTCCCCCGTCACTGTTCCCGCCAGCTTCCGCAGCCTTGTTCAGGAGCTCTTGAGCCTTGAAGATGATGGCATCGCCAGCGCTGCAGAAGCTACCACATCGGCGCCTGAGTGCATCCGCGACGACGTCAACACTCGCTCCTCGGGCAATATTTCGATTGACAATGGCCTTGACCAACAGCTTGGCGAGATCTTTGCCCTGGCTGGAAGAGAAGAGAAGTTCGTATGTTAATTCACGAAGTCGCTGCTTGACAGAATCATCAAGAGAAGTCCAGATCTCGTCTATTCGCTCGTCAAAGAGCATCTGAACGAATGAGATACCTTCGATGATGCTTGAGTTCAACTTCTGGAGGGAGTGGAGAGCTTGATGTTCGCCCTGGAGAGCAATTTCCTCCTGTTGGCTGGCAACGCGTTGAAGACCTTCCGGTCCAGCAAGCCCTTCGATGAATGACTTGTTCTTCTCCAGAAATGTCGCCAACTTCGTCAAGTCATCTTGCACACTCGTCAGTTTTAGCAGAGTAACCGTCGACTTGATCTTCATCGGCCCCCCATCCTTTGGTGGCACTACTTGTGTGATGACGGATGCCTTCCAGAGCGATCGGACCAATCGCGCCATATAGAGTGCCAGTCCTTCGTGCCGTGAAGATGGTCGCACATTGTCAACAGCCTGTGATGGACCCTCGGACACCATGTTCTCATTCAGTGATGGTCGTCCTCCGAATTCTACAAAGCACTTTCGAGCCAACTCCAATGTCTCAGGGTCGCTGGCTCGGGCCAGTCTCGGGTCGCCAGGAGTTACATCATTGCCTTGCCCACAAGCAACAGCCAGAGCAGTTGCAGTTGTTTCACCCCGGCCGTAATGTCGAATGAACTTCTTGATCTCAACTTCAAGGGCTTCATCACCACCTTGATTACGGATCGCAGCAGCGAATATATCCACCAGTCTTCTTCGTCTGATAATGTGAATGCCATTATTGGTCAGAATAGCAACTTCGGTTGGCGGCTCGTCATATTGGACAGCAAGCTCATTCCCGAATCCCAGTGGTTGCGCTGCGGCTGCAAACGGTTTCGTGACTAGGCCAACGTCCTCAGCGGTACTGTTCAAAGAAATCCAGCAGGCTTGTTCGAAGTATTTTGTGCCCCCCTGTGCAGCTAGATCTTGGACTCGCGCTGCAATTCTGCCAGTGTCCGGGCCAGCGAGGAAGAGTGAGTCTCGTCCGGAATTGTCGTTCTTTGTGACAAAGCAGAAGAAGAAACCAGGTGGGAAGCGGAGGCCCTGTTTAGTGAAAGCAAGAGCGAGTGAGCCGGTTTCAGTGGTTGGCTCGGTGCCTGGGTATGCTTGCAGTTGCTGTCCAGGTGGCCTGGGTTCCAGTCGGGGCGGGAACTTGATGTGCTGTACCTGCATGCTCTGAGGTGCGCCTTGGCCAGTCAGATATCCATAACCTCGAGTCGCGCTCAAGAACAATCGGCAGCCGGTGGTAGTCGTAGCCATGAGATGTAGCTTTGAGCCTTCTTTTGCAGAAATCGGGTTGATAGAGCAGATTCTCATGGTGTTGGTAAGAAGACTTGATTGCGAGATCATGTGACTGATGTCCCTCAAACATTCTTGCCTCTTCTTCTCGATAACTTGTTGGAGGGTGGTTGGTGAGTCCATGTGGAAAGTTCGTATGCAAGATTCGGAGGAAAGGGTGTAAAGAAGTCGTCTAGTATCATCCACCACCATTTGTATGACGTGTTCTTGAGTTCTGCTGCCCCATATCTGAGGGACAAGAGATGTGTAGCCCGGACTCGTGTGATTGATCCTCCCACATCTGCTCGCAAACCACTTCTCCTCTTGTTGATATGTGAGCTCGTGAATCTCGTTGGCGTCTTTTCCTGAGAAGAAAATGCGCCCAGTTGCTGCCGAACCAGCGATACATTCGACGTTGATGCCTCGGATGGAAATTGACATCTTCGTCGAGTAAAGCGATACCGTCCGAATACCAGGAGTTTCCAGCTTCGAGCCAGGACTCGTGGTAGTTTCCAACTTCGACGCCACGCCTAGCAGAATCATCTCGCTCACAGTCGCAACCACCAAAAGATGTGTAATCTCTTTCACGAACACCCCAGCCCTCGGAATAACAAGCTTCACAGCGTTGATAGTGTTGTTCTGCTCCTCGTACCCAATAATATCTGGATTTGGATTCGTGTAGTCCCAGAGATACAGCGCGCTATCAATCGTAACCCAAGCATGGTTCAGATCCGCGAACAGCCCCATCATGGTCGATACCTGAGACTTATTGTATTGCTCGAAGATCTTGTCTGGGATATCGTACATCTTTGTTCGCTGGAAAGGTGACCATGCAGCCTCGCTGGTATTATTTGGGAGATCATAGTCGGAAGAAATGCCTTCTGCTCCATTGTCAGCTCTGTTCTTCGATCTTGGGCGGACACTTACGTCTGACATAGCTATCAAGATCGGGGAAACTTGCTTCTCGTTGTAACACCTCATTAATTGTTCGAGCCGCTCGTTGAATAGGTCGCTGAGCTTGTGGAGGGGGGACTTCACGCGATTGAGAGACAGGCTGTGAAGGGTCTCCACTAGGAGCAGCAGGCTGTCTGGTACCTTGTGGTTGGAACATTGGTTGTCGGATGGGAGCTCCAGTCGGGAATCTAGATGCTGCAGGTGTATTGAAGTATGCGCCAGGCAAAGGCCGCTGGGGGGTTTGCATTCCGGGGAAAGACATCTTTGCTGCCCGACTGCTCTTTCAAGCGCGGTCGCAATACCAGACACGGCGGTGACTTTCGGTCTAGGAAGACTGCATGGGGAACTGCAGCAGCTGAGAGATGGGCGAGAAAGGTTGTGTGGGGGTTCCTGAGGGCGATGTCGTGGTTGATGGAAGCTTGTAAACACTGACAAAAGTCGAGATGCGCCTCGAAGACGCGTTGGAGGTCGCAACTCAAAATTTCCCAGCCACGCATCACGTGATATGAGACACAATAGCAAACGTCTTATTGTCAATGAGGGAGTGTGAATTGTAAGTATGGATGATGAGAATTCTGTTCAAACAATATGGTTGAAAACTCCATGAAATTTCAGGAGTGGAAAGCTTCGAGGTTGTTCTTGTCTGCGCCTTCTCTTTCACCGAGAAGTCAATTTCAACTCCTGAGCCTGTGGCAATCACACTCTTCGAAGGTGTTTCAATGCATACATTACTTGCTTCTATTCTATACCCAGATGAGGTATTAAGCTGTTATAAGCAATGCCACCACCATGCAGTCCCTATTCTCCGATGACCTCTCCTCTGGGTTGTCCATATACAGCATTTCCCATCGCTTTCACCAACAGAACAATCCGCCCCAATGGGCCACATTTCCCTTGATTTCATTCCCCCTCAAGCTTTCTTCGCTTCCCTCTCCGCCTTCCTCAAAGCCCTCTTCCTGATTCCCTGATGCATCTCCTTATTCTTCACCACCACCATCTTCCCCCCAATCCCCACCGTGTTCTCCAACCACCACTGCATCAACGCATGCCCCGCAAACGGCGTACTCGTATAGGCCATATTCTGCGCTCCGCCACTCCTCCCAATCTTTCCCAGTACAGCCTTGACGAACGCTCTCGGATTTGGGATCAGCATGCTTGTCTTCCTCACTTTCGACATAGCAGTCGTAACCAAGTAGCTCAAGCAAAGCTCGACATCTACCCCACTGCCCGCCAACTCCCCACCTAGCGCCGTAGACCACTGCTGCAAGAATGCCTTGCTGCCCGAATACGTAGCCAGTAACGGCGTAGGCAACCACCCGCCAAAACTCCCCATCGTAAGAATCAGTCCTCGTTTCCTTTGCACCATACCAGGAGCAACAATCTGCGTCACGTGGAGTGTGGCAACACAGTTAATCGCAATAATATCCCTCATCTCCTCCTTCGGCGTCTGAATAAACGACACAGGGATAGCATGACTCTGCCCGACATTATTAATCAAAATTCCCACATCAAGTCCATCAACCAGCGCCTTCAACTTCGCATAATCGCCCTCCTCATTCTTGCTGAAGTCCATAGCGAGGATCTTCACGTCGATATTCGAGCCCGCATACTTGGTCTTTATTTCGGAGGAGAGCGTCTCGAGTTTCGAGGCAGTGCGCGAGATGAGCAGCAGGTTGAAGCCTTTTTGCGCGAGCTGGATGGCGTATTCTTTTCCGAGGCCGTCGGAGGCGCCGGTTACTACTGCCCAGGTGCCTTTCTTGCCGTATTTGCGGAGCTGGAGGGCCAATTAGCAGTGTACTCTTCTATAGTCTTCGTGGGGTAAACCTACATTCGTTCCTGGCAGGACGAATAAGCTGAGCAGCAGTCGAATGTAGCTGATGAAAAAGCGGGCGATGAAGAAAAGTCCTACGAAGGAAGTGCCGTAGACTAATGGACGAGGGGCCTTCTCGAGAATAGCGCCAATATCCATGACTGCGGTCATGTCTGGTGTTGTCAAGATTGATGCTGACGATGTCGATGTATGATGGTGTTGTTGAGGTCAGGTTGAGAGCTTCACCCCTGTCCGTCGTTCCTGATCTGCAGACGCGGCCGCGTCTAAATTCCCAAGAGCTGTCTCCAACGACACGCCTCAAGAAAAAGCAATGTTAGCCACCATAGCTGAAATTCTATCTTGACGACAACCTCCCCGTCTTCCCCATCTCGGACTTTTCAATTGAGTCCGCTGTTCAAGGCCCAACCCCAAGATGGCATCCCTAATCAGCGCAATCCAATCCCTCCTCCCGCAACACGAAGGCCTGTTGCCAAAATGGCTACTTTTCGTATGCCCCCCCTTTTCCCTAAGTCAATTGCCTTCATATGCTGAGAAACAGCTTGCCAGGTCGCCATAACAGCATTCGGCAACACAATCCAATCCTACACCACCCTCTCCTTCACCTCCCGCGTCTACGGCGGTCCCACCTCCTTCCCCACAGTCCCCAACCCGACGCCCACGACGCCTCCAAGTCTCAATCGCCAGGTCACTCCGCTATCGTCTCGGACATTCGGTACATGGAGTTTGATACAGGCGTTTGTGCGGTTATATGCAGCATACAACATCGATAACCCGGCGTTTTACCAACTGGCGTATTTGACGTACCTGGTGGCGTTTGGACATTTCATGAGCGAGTGGTTTTATTTCGGGACGTGCAGGTGGGGAAAGCCGCTTGCGGGGCCGGTGGTGGTTAGTACGGGGACGCTGGTTTGGATGTTGTGGGTTTGGGGGGATTATGTACAGTGAGCAGGACTTGGGAGAAGAGGTCTGGGAAGGAGCTTGGCGTAATGTGAAAGAACTGGGAAAGGGAGTAGGACTAGGAGGAAGGGGAAGTGTAGATATGGGGTGGGTATAAGACATTGTATCACAAATTTAAATGCTAATGAGGAGGAATCTTTCCACCGAGCTTCTGTCCCGACTCCAAATGCGCGCTCTGCCTCCCAAATATGCTCCGGTTTTACTCCAAGTTCTTCCTGTACAACTCTCCACCGCAGTCTTCACGGAGTCTCTTAGCAGCCTGCTCAGGCGTGATGTCCCTCTGCGGCTCAGCCATCAACTCATAACCCACCAAGAACTTTCTAACCGTCGCGCTGCGGAGAAGCGGCGGGTAGAAATGCATGTGGAAATGGGACGCATTAATCTCCTCTTCCGTGCCTTCGAGTGGAGCTTGATGGATACCCGAGCCTGCGATCATCAGCATCAATAACAAAAGGAGAGCCATTGGACCAAAGGAGAAAGAGAAAGGGGGAACTCACTGTAAGGAAAACTCGTCTCAAACAAATTATCATACCTCCTCGTAACCTCCGCAATCGCCTCTGCAAAATCCTTTCTTTCCTGTTCGCTCAAATCCACCAAACTTCTCCTATGCCGTTTACTCACAACCATCACCTCAAATGGCCATACTGCCCACCACGGACACACGACCAAGAACCCTTCGTTCTCAAACACAATCCTCTCCTTCTTCTCCATCTCAAGTTTCGCATAATCCTCAAGTAGGTTCCTGCCTCCATGTTCCTTTCTATATTTTATCAACTGCTGTAACTCAGCAGCAGGTTCCTCAGGCAGCCCAGTGGTCGTCCATATCTGCCCATGGGGATGCGGATTCGAACAGCCCATCGCGGCACCCTTATTCTCAAAGATCTGCATCCATGTATACTGCGCGCTTGGTTTTTCTATCATCTGCGTCGGGGCGGGCAGGTTCAGCGGTATTCCGGAGAGCGGGGAGGAAGGAGAGAGGTGCGAGGCGTAGATTGAAGTCCAGACGTTGATTACGGGCAGGATTTGTGCCGGGGATAGGTCGGCGAGTGTTAGGTTGTGGGAGGAGGAGAAGGTGAGGACGTAGCATTTGCCTGTTACGGGGGCGGCGCGGAGGAGGTTTGAGAGGTCTGGGGGCGGGTTAAGGTGGGGGGAGGGAAAGCGGGAGGGGAGACGGGAGACGGACCAGAGGGATCCCCTTCTTGCGTGTATTCTGCTTGCGATTCTTTGACGGCGCTGTAGTCGTTTACGAAGACGAATGTGGTTTCGTATTTCGGGTTCACGTCGCCTTGTGCTCGCTTGTTGCCGGGGCAGAGGTAGCACTGGTTTGGTCAGAGGGGTAGTTTTCGTGGAGAGAGGTGCGTACTGAGGGATCATATTCGGGGAGTGAGCTCTTAGAGGGAGATTCCTGTTGGCCTCTGCGAGGGAATTAGCACTGCTTGAAGCTGTGGAGTGGAGGTTGTACTGCCATGGTCTTTTCGTTCGATGTGGAGAGACGAGAAGCCAGCTGCCCCGCAATGGGTTGTATCGTCGATGCGAGATGTCGTTGAGGATCTCTTCCGGCATCTTGGCACTGAGAAACAGAATACAGAGGTAGAAGAATCCAATTGAGCATGCAGGAGCCCAATTGGATTTATAACTGGGGAGAAGCTCGTGGAGTTGAAGAAAAGAAGTGTCCAAAATCCAAATCTTGCTTCTGACCATGGCGGGGTCCTCCCTGGTGCTTGGACCTTCTTGACCCGCGCCAATCGCTGAGCTTCAATTCCGACGCTTCACTCTCTCCCGCATCACTCCTGGTGACGCCGCCACCCCCCTTTTCTTCTTCTTCTTAATGGAAATCACACCTGCATTTCGTCTCTCCCACGCATTGAGCGCCTCCAATCGCCTCTCGCACCATCAAACATGGATGCTTTTTTCTTGCTTGATTTACCAGCCAAATTGTTGGGATTGAACGGCACTCGTTCCATGCAGGCCGCGCGCCTGGGGTACCTGGTAGGGTTATGATGAGTCTTGGCCATTGACTCCATTGTGTTTGAGATTGCGGGCAAGAAGTCTTCGAGTGTCAGATATCTGACCTGATCCAATCCATTTCAACCCCGACACAATCTATCTACCATTCTGAGTCTGGGCAGTTCCGTTGCTGCTTGGCTGATACCGTGGATGATGCTCTCTCCTCTCGAATATCGACATCTTGATCGTCCTTGATTCTCGTCTTCTCTGGCTGTCTCGTCGCTCTATTAATGGCATTTATGATATAGGCGTGCGATGGCCATTCAAAGGCAAGTTCACTCCCCAGCGCGGGAAATCCCCATTGTTGGTGAAGTGTGGCGCCACTTTTTTCAAGCCGCAGCGTCTTCAATCAATATTTACAATTTCCACTTTGCCACATTGGTCAACAAAGCCAAGTCCCCCTATGATTTTTTTTCCTCGCACAAACGCCCATGATCGAGAGCTGAGTGTTCGAGGCGAGCTGGAGGGGGCTCAATAATTGAGCTGATGCGGCGCTTGCCGTTGCTAAAGACACCACACTTTCCTCCTTCCAGAGCCAAGGACTTCTTTAACATTCTGAGTTTCTGTCTCGCACTTGAATTTTCTCTCTGATGTTCGGACGTTGATTTTGCATCAAGCTGCGATTTTAGGAACGCTTTATTAGCCTTTGTTTGTCGGCCCTGCTTCGACCTCCGGGGCAGCATAATGGCCTCTAGGGACGTGCTCGTCGCTCTTCCAATGAGCTTTGTGCTCAGTGCCATTTTGCTTGGTTTCTACCTCGTTGTATTCCTATTAATATTGTTCACTGGGATGCTTTCGGGTTCAGAGAGCTTTGCCTCACGTTGGTGGTGGCTATTAATACTCGGTACGGCTCCAATTCGCAAACCCCTCTCTAATACCCAATTCCCTGACATCGCTCTATAGTTCGAATCGCCGGAGCTTCTGCAGGCTTCGGTGCAACTTACAAGAAGCCACTCCCACCCGATCTTTCCGCGCAGTACGCAATAACCTGGCTCTACGATATCGGCACACTCTTCATCGTCATGTCCATACTCCGAACAAGCTTTATGATCAGTGAAAACAAAAATTTATGCTTGTTCAGTATTACACGGCGTATTTGGGGCTTCCTTCTTTTTGCTCTTTTGAATGTTGGCTGGATTCTCCAGTTAATTCTCGCGGGCTCAGAACAGAGCCCAAGCCTGGATCAGATTGGCCACACCTGCCATGGAATGGCGATTACTCTGCTCGCCATCACACTGGGACTAGCTTCTGTTCTCACTGTAAAGCCTTTCCTGGCAAGATGGAGTAGTAGATCGCACTCAACCACTCCAACTGGGTCCAGTCACTGGCTGTCTACATCACTTTCATTCTACTTGCCATTCGCATCATTCCCGATTTGCTCAGGGTGTGGACGCGTCGCAGTCCGACCAACCTCTCCTATATTTTGACGGGGATGGTGCCCGACTTCTTCATCGTGTGCGGGTGGATCTGGCTTGGGCGAGGGATATGTCGCTGGGACCGGCGATTCAAAAAGCTAGGCCACAAAGCTCCAGAAATACTACGAAGAATGTGGTTCGGATGGAAGATACTTGAATACGAGAAGAGATATTTGGAAAGAGATACCAGCATTTACTCCACGATTAGCAGCAGTTTGGTCCTACCTGACAAACCTCAAACTTGCTCAATCGAGGTCCCGGGTCTCCTGGATTACATGAATATTTCACCTCATATGACCTTGTCCAACGCCAAGAGAAGTTGCTTGCACGTCCAGGAATTCTCGCCGCTGCCGAGAAGCTCATGCCGAATTTAGCTTCACCAAGTCCACTTGGAGGTCTCAACACACAGGCGTATACGGAAGAAATTTTGGCCCAGAGGCTCAGGGACTTCAAAACAGCCTGTTCAGGGCGCGTTACTTTTTTCAGGAAAGAAGTCTACCCACGAGAAGGGTCTCCTTCAGAGCTGGAAGCCTCTTCAATCTTCATGACCACTCTTTCGAAACCACCAACGAGATCTCTTGACTGTGGAGCCAAATTCTACAACAGAGAAGAGGTAGTTCAGCTCGTAAGGCTGTTGAGGACACTGTGCCAGGCAGCAGTCTCCAACCTGTGTTTCAAAGTTCCGCTCTCACACTCCGTCTTCCATTATCCAAATTGGATAGTCGATATACCTGAGACACTAGATCGAATGAAAAGCTACCTAGTCGCTGTGAATGGATATTCTTTCCATGAGGCGGACGCGGTTGTTGCGAAGTGGGGAGAGCATATACTGAATGAACGAGGGCCACCGATTGTACGTTGGGGGAATGACTATGTAAGGAGGGAAGCAAATACGCATCCGTACTTGTATTGGTTCCTGGATGATGTGTGAAGAGTGCTAACAGACCGATACCCATTTATGCTTGCGAATGGGCTCTCTTGTATCGAGAATGCGGTCTTCATCCATTAACATCTTCTTAAATCAACAACCTGACTTACATCTCAAAGCATCGGGTCCTGTGTCAGTCAATACGCCGTGTAGAACGAAAGCTCGTTTCTCAAAGTTTGTTTCTCAACTAATTTAATATCTCAGTCATCGCCTTCAATCGAATCACGCTGCTGTCAGCTATTGTGGAACATCCGGCTCCAGGTTCCTCGATTAGGAAGCAGTTAAACCGGTTCCAGGACTGAAGGTTTATCCCAACTCGACTTGTGTCTGAAATCTTTTCAGTCTGAACATAGTCTGTCCCTCCAACTTCAGAATGTCCAGCTGCTTGTACAAATCCTCGAAGCTATGCGTTTTGTTTTATGCCCTAGCCAATGCTTTATCAGTCATAGTGCCTGTGAGTTGTAAGGGTCGTTTGAAGAAGTCTGGTTCGCTAAACGTCCTATGTTAGGTGAATCACTTGAGATGTGAGTGAAAGTCCTATCGCCTTTTAATTGTTTTCACAACGATATTTCTTCCAGCGTCTCATCTGTTACAACAGCATCTCTGAGGCAATTCTCCCACCCCTCGCCTTGCCTGCAGCCCTGAGGCCGGTTTGCTAATAAAAGAAGGTAACAGAGTCGAATGTGGCTATATAGGTTCTTGCGGCAGAAACTGGATGGATGCCGAATCGAACATGAGAGGTGTAGGTGGCGTAGAGTTCTTAAATCCAAGAAACACACATTCGAACGTATTCGAACCTGCAACACAAGCATTCCCTGTCAGGAACCAAGTTTAGCGCAATGGCCCCGCGAGTCGACCCGAAGGAATTCAGCTGGGCCCTTTCAGAGAAGAGCCAGTGGAGGGGAGTCGAAGAGAACAATGAACTTCATTAGGTTGCTAAGGCACCCGGCCTGACACTCTCAGGATAGAGGGGGCAAGCGTATAATCCGAGGCGGCGAATACCTAGTGTGGAAATTAGTCCACGGTTCATTGGCAGCTGTTTAAGAACATCCCACGTTCTTATGCGTCGACATCGAGATTTCGAGTTCCTTGTAGTTTGGAAAGTTGAAGGATGACTGAGAAAATAATGTTAGAATGTGAAAGTTGGAAGGTCCATTGAGCGTACATATACTTTTCTGGCTCTCTGTTCTTAACTTTGCATGTGTATGGCTGCCATAGAGAGGGGAGGATCTTAACGAGTGATCAGCAAGGATATGAAGGAAAGCTGTCTAGCTAAAACGCGATAGTCAGGAGCATTTCAAGAGCCCCAAATAGCTAATTGCCGGGCAACTGCCAAGAACGTAAATGAGCCAACCATACACTTTTCGATGCTACTACAACACCAACTTCGGAAGGCTTCTGGCTCCAGTAATCTCTAAGATGTTCTCATCAAGGGGAAACAATAATTTATCCGTACGAGAGGGTTCTGTTTAAGCGAGTCAATATGCCATTATTTTATCAAGAATCAAGATGAAGATTCACAAGTTTTCCCACATCTGATACCCAATGATATTCTCGGACTCTATACTTTGTTTCACACAGGAGGTGCAAATAAGAAGATTATCCGGCTCTCACAGTGTGACGATGAGCGTAGAGTACTAGAGAAAGGCTGATCAATTGCTGTTCTAAGAATTCTTCAAATAGACTTGAAAATCACTTGGTCCACTATCTTCAGGGCCCAATATTGGGATAAATGGGGTGTGCCATCGCGCCCATGGCACTCAAATGATCTTGAATCACAATGTAGGCTCCGAAGATCCGCATTTTGTCCACCCTCCATCACCCACATTCGGCTGCAACTCACCTCCATGTGTGACGCGTCCTTAATCACCTCGTTCCACATGTACATCACGCAATTTGCCCTGCCCTTGTCCTTGTGATCAGGACAACGTGTGATAATGTTAATCTGAGAAACTCCTTTATGACTGCCGAGTAAGTGCCGAGAATGTCATCTAGCTCAAGGACCAACTTTCCGCCCGAGCGAATCGGACCATCCACCCAGTTCTGTGTCTGATGGGCCAAATTTTGTTAACAACCAGCCTTAAAAGGATGTCACCGTGTCAGAAGACTGACTTTCTACCAATTCGGGCTCCGGTATAACCAGATCTGTTACGTGTGATTTCTTACGGGTGTCGCTACCTTCAAAATGTTGGGATCCTCTGTAACCCTCGAAAATGGTGGATTGAAAATCGAAAGCACCGCACGAAAGCTCTCTCAGCTCTCGGGCGATTCTATCTCCAGTCCTGCAATCTCGGGATCGGCTGCTCCCTGAACTTGATTGCGATATCCGGGGCATAATTACCTCAGTTCTCACAGCTGATAATTGTAACTAGTGGCGTTAGGGAGATGACAAAATAATAAGAAGGCGTCGTGTAGCAGCCCCAATTGGCGTTGAACGCGCAATGAGGAATTCGAGGGCCAGGATTCGTAGCTTGACCACAATTTAGATCAGGAGCTGCAACTAAGGCGAGGTTCTGTAAGAAATCTAAACACCTATATATGGCAGAACGAAAGGTGCAGAACTGCCGAAAAACAAAGACAAGGATAGTGAACAAAAATTTCCGATGAATCACTCGAGCATGGATGGTGGAACACGAGTATGAATCCCAGCTTCGCTGTACAGTCCGCCCGAGCTTCTGGTGTGTTCAGGCTGACCTCGTGCACAAAACCACAAAGAACAAAAAGTGCTTACAGAAACCCCAAGTAAACAGGCCCCTGAACCCCTTTACCCCAGATCTCGGCAACCATTTAGCCGAGCCGAACCTCGGCTCCCTGCGATTATCTAATCGGTACTTCAACTTCACTCCAACTTCAAGGCATCACGCACGCAAACATCTCCATTATTCAACACCAATTGCATGTCTCACCATCTTTCCCACCAAGCATTCTCCTCCTACACCCTCTCCCAAACCGCCTGCCCAGTCCTGATCTTCCAGACGCCCTCACGACCCCAACAGGACTCCGCGAAAATGACGAGCTTTATAACCCCACCCCCACCAGTCCACCACTCCCTAATCACCTTCCCAACGCCTTCAATTCTGCTAATAACGCTCAATCGTCCGAAAGACCTAAACTGCATCAATTCACGCGGCCACTACGAGCTCGACGCGCTCTACACCTGGTTCGACAACGAGCCCTCCCTGCGCTGCGCCATCTTAACTGGCGCCGGACGGGCATTCTGCGCTGGTGCTGATTTGAAGGAATGGGATAATGCGAATCACAGCACACAATCGCAAGATGGGAAGGAGGGGTTGTCGAGGGAGGCGAAAGAAAGGGGCATGCCGCCCTCTGGTTTCGGCGCACTGAGTCGAAGAGGTGGAAAGAAGCCTGTGATATGCGCTGTGAATGGGATTTGTTTCGGTGGTGGATGCGAGATGATAATTAACGCCGATATGGTCGTTGCAGACCAGGACGCACAGTTCGGACTACCTGAGGTGAAAATCGGTGTAGTAGCGCTAGCTGGAGCGTTGTCTAGGTTAGTTAGGACGGTGGGGAGGCAAAGGGCGATGGAGATGGCGCTTACTGGGCGAACATTGAAGGCGGAGGAAGCGAGGGAGTGGGGACTGGCTAATAGGGTTGTGGAGAAGGGAAAGTGTGTGGAGGAAGCGATTAGGTTGGCGGAGATGGTGGTGGGGAATAGTCCGGATAGTGTTATTGTGTCTAGGGAGGGAATCAAGATGGGGTGGGAGGGAATCGGGGCGGAGGAGGCGACGCGGTGGACGCAGGAGGTTTGGTATAAGAGGATGGATAAGGGGGAGAATATGAAGGAGGGGGTGAGGAGTTTTGTGGAGAAGAGGAAGCCGAGGTGGGTTCCTAGTAAGCTTTAAGGCGGAAACATAGGCACTCTTGCACAACTAACACTTCTCGATGTTTATTTTGCGCCCCTGGACAATCTAAGAGGATAGTTCTCAACCACGACAGCAGGACACGTTCCCTCTCCTAACTACCCTTCCTATCTTCAATCAGGAGAACTCTTGAAGCTGGCCCGCTCCCTCCACGCTTCCCAACCATGGCACACGATTCTTCACCCACAGCTCTGCCCCAAGTTTCACATCCCCAATTTCCATCCCCCCTTCACCAGCATCCAACGTCCCCGCCTGCACAATCGCAACGCCCTTGAATGCCTCCCCATCCATATCCTTATAAATCTTCGTTCCACAGTTCTCGCAGAAATGGAGCGTCAAGGTCATGCCACTGGGGTGGGCCGCCGCGTAGCTTCTCAAATGTTCCTTGCCGGAAGTGATGGTTAGAGCGGCGAGAGGAACGAGGATGTTTGTCGTGTGGGTACCGCCGGAAACTTTGCGGCAGGGGAGGCAGTGGCAGATTGCCTGGGGGAGAGTTAGTTGAGTTATGGAACTGGAAAAGAGGAGAAAACTGCCTGCATAACTGGCTCGCCAGTGAAGGTATAAGCAACCTTCTTGCAGAGACAGGATCCATGTGATTGAGCCATGTTGCGATTGAGTCTGGTTTGTACTGTGCTTGCTTGCCGTGAAAGTTTGGCCAGAAGAGAAATAGAGGCCTACTTATACTCTTCTTGCCTTTCCAGCTCGAGGCCAAGGAGATGCCCCGCTTCTGGCTCGCGGTTCTGTCCGTCATCCTCACGGGACCAACCAATCAGAAGCGAGCATTCGCACTATTCGCCTGATTCAGGTATTCAAGTCAGCATCACCCACACTGAGCATCTAAAGTGCTGACACTTGATTAACTGTGGCTGCTCGGAGTGCGGATCCCCGCAGGAGTTAGCCTTATATGCATCGTATAGAGTTGGCCCAAAGAAGCAGGCCCGATGGACCGCATCGACGCCCCGGATTCTTCAAACTGATCAAATGACGAGAAAGAGCAATTGTTGTGTCAAGACTTTATTTCTGATTCTGATTTCTGACCGTTAGTTCAGATAGCAACCATGCGTCTTAGTCATACAATTCAGGTTCAACCCTCTGGCAATCCAACGTCGCAGCCAGGGTCGTTGTCACTATCCACAAACGGAAGCTAATCCCCACCCTCATCCTCCCAAATCCTCGTCGGACTAACCGCCGGACTCGTCTTAATCTTCGGTCGACTCTTGAACACGCTCTCATAATCAGGATCCCCCTCAAGCAACTCAATCGCACTGATATCGGGTGTCACTACCTCCTCCTCAACCTTCGGAAAGTAGCTCGACTCCCGCTGCTTCTTTTTTGCATCCTTGGCACTCTTTCTTCGCTCGAGCTGGGCTTTCTTCTGTGCTGCCTCAAAACCGGCCATGCTTTTACGCGTGCGTTCGATCAAGTCAGCATGCAAACCTTCGGATTCGGAGCTGGAAGTCTTTGAAATAGGCGCTGTCGACTGTCGGGGTTTGATTGATAGACGGGATATGTCGGGGATGTCCATGTCGTCGTGAAGGTCTGAGTATTGGGAGTGTGATGCGCGAGACATTGAGAGACGGGTACGTTCGGCCAGTGATAGAGTGTGACGGGGTTTCTTGGGTGAGGGTGATGCTGCGGCGACGGAGTTCAAGATGTGATCTGCGAGATCAGAATCAGAATCTTTTGGCTTGATGAACTTTGTATCAGTAGGTTCGATGGCTTTTCTGGGCTCGAGGGGTGGAGGAGTGCGGAGGTATCGTCCTGGTGATGGCGATCTAGTGCTCTGGGGTTCGGTGGGCATCGTGGAAGAGTCGGGAACATCATCTGTGACGGATTTGCTTGCATATTTTGGGACTGGGGGCTTCTTGGATGCAAGATCTCGTTCGGGTCGCGACGCTTTCGGCGGAGCCTCTAAAGGGGGGGTGCGAGACGTGGACTTGGTAGCGTAACCGAGAGAGCCCGGTGAGGGTTCGTCCATCTCGCTAACAGACGACCATTCTTTCTCCTGGGTTTCGAGTTCTTCCTGCCCAGGAATGGCAGATGGTGGAAGAAAGAGCTGTCGCTGTTCTGGAAGGAGGCTTTGACGTGGAGGTCGCCTGGTCTGGGCCCGTGGCTTGCCAACCTCTGCGAGCTCTGATTGCATGTTCTCGATCAAACGGGTATACTCTTCCAGCGAGGTGGAGGTAGGGTGTCTATCCTTCACTAGACTACTGCGACCGATTTGCAAAGCTTGGTGTTTGTTGAATCCCAGGTCGACTTTCTTCCGCTCTGCCAAAACTGGCGCAGATTGTTTCGTAGGAGAGGCGGCTCCAACCTTGGAAAGCGTCTTACCAAACTCCTGCCATCTTGACAACCGACTCTCTTGAGCCTTTACTCGTGCATCGAGCTGTTCAAGAAGACCCACATGCTTCTGATCTTCCAATTCACCGATGCTACCATGCTCGACATGCCTCCAAACCTTGTCAAACCGTGTTGCCAGAAGCCCATTTCCGCCCCTTATGCTGTCCCCGTAGAGGATAGTATCCAACCACTCTTGCTGGCCTGACCAATTGCTTTGGACTAGCTCCTGAACCGCAGCAGCGTCACGCTCTGAAATCTGTCCTTGCGGCCCACTCTCCTCAATGGCTTGTTTGAGTTGCTCATGTCGGCGTGCGATGCGTCGGTCGTTTAGGTTGAGAAGATCCGCGAAGTCATCGTAATTAGCTCTTGCGTCGTCCTTCACCCGTAACAGCCTGCTTAAGGACACCTTGTGTGCCGTGATCAAAGCCGATAAGACAGTACGTTCCCCCTTGTATGAGAAGTTTTCAAACGCCAATTGCTGTGCCAAAGCTTCATGTTGTTTAGAGCCTCCTTGAAGTACTTTCTTCAGGACCGCATTCGAGAATACCGCGAGGACCTCCTCCAATCTCTCTCCTTTGCATTCATCCAGCATTGTCTTCCTCAGTACTGTGTCCCTCCCAAGTATTCCATTCTTCTTCGCTTGGTCGAGACATCGGAAGAGGGCTGCGCGAAGGTTGAGAGATTGTAGAGGTTCGAGAGGCGGGAAGAAAGGTTGAAGTTTCTGCAGAGGGTGTTAGTTAACATGCATAAAACACAAAGAATTGGAGCTAGAAAGACATACATTTCGGGTTTCCTCTGGATCACACAGCGCAAACAGTTGGTAGAGAGCCCATTCGACGCATTGGATCCGCTTCTTTTGGTTTTGCTGAGAGGTAGAGAAGGTCAGAGCTGTGATGTCAGGCCAGCTATCTCGAAGGTCGAGGTCAAGGAGCCGCAGATTCGTGAGGAACAGCGCGACATTTGCCCTCATTGTTTGTGCTGAATTGATTGTTGGTGGGAGACGGTCAGGAGGTGACGTGGGGTTTTCGCATTCGTAAACAAATCGCGTTCGAAATTGCGCACGTGACCCTGATTGGCCGACCCCCCGCGTAGCCTCATTGCACAACCACGCCCGACAACGCCAGTCCCGCCACACCCCCCTCCACTCTAACCAACGCATCTCCACCCCCCTTTCCGCCCTCTCCTCCATCACCCTCCTCGTCCCGCCGAGCTCCTCTCCCCATTCCACCCATCTCTACATCTTTGCCCTTCTCCCCCTCCCCCTCCCCCTCACTCTCCTCGTCCGAGGTGGACGGCAACATCTCCCGCGCATTCTCTCCCTCCTCGACGAAACCCAAGGACATCCACTTGACTCGTTCGGCGGCATGGCCAGCCGGCAGAACTTCCTTGGTAGGTGGCCCTGGATAGTATAACCACTCGCCGTCCGGTGTGTGGCCTACGCCACGGTCGTCGAAGACCAGGCTGGCTCTCATAGCCTCCCAGTCACGGCGCAGGGGCTTGGGGTCATGCTTTCTCTCTGCAAAAATGCTGTCAGTGATTGTTCATAAAGAACGGAACATCGAGGAAAGAGAGGACCTCATTGTTTTGTCAAGATCTCGAATTTTGGCTGTGACATCTTGGAAAAGGGGTTGACTTACTCTTCTCGGCCGGGGCCGGGGCCGCCGCCGCCGCCGCCTTCTCATCGGCCTTTCTCTTCTTGGTTCGCTCTCTCTTCGCCTTGTTCTTCGCGGCATTCTTGCCGCGCTTCTCATCCGAAGTTTGTTGCTGAAAGCGTTGTGTTAGCCCATGTGCCATTGCAATGAACGAAAGTGATGCGACAGGCCCGATCAGAGAGGCAGAAACTCACGTTGTCCATGGTTGCTTTCGTATGTAATCTTACGAGAGCTGCTTCAATCGTTAAATATATACTCACATACGCTCCAATCATCGAAGGGGAAGTGGGATGGAGGTGGTGGGGTACTGTACCTACTGTCTATTTTATGGGAACGGGTGGTTGAAGGAAAAAGGAAGGATCGCGAGCGAGAATTTTTATATATCTCGATCTGTGGCCGTCTCACGCTCGCTTACGAGACCCCATTGCCGTTGTTTCCTCTGATCATTTCATCTCAGCCTTGGGCCATAGTGAATACGTCTGAGATTTCCTCTCACAAATGCTGAATCTGCAATCAAATCGGGAACCCAGAGATCGGATCCACCTTGATGCTCTCATTTCTGTAGCTCTATCTTTTCAAAATGTCTATCAACTTTCAAACCTGGACTTCCTTATATTTAGACAAAGCGGGACATCCATCTCATAACAGAAACACGGTCGTGCTCTACAGCTTCCCGTTTCATTTTTAAATGTTTGTAACTCTAAGCATGCTCTCTTGCTTGAGACCACGTGCAGTATAGAGGATTTACTCAGTCTCAGGATAACAATTGATCACGATATAATTGCGGGCTGTGTTTATAAGAAGAAGTGAATGTTATCTGCCCCGTCGGTCACACGAGCGGCCCGAATTCGGCAAATTCTGGGCCGGGTATCATATATTCAATTAAGAACTTTTGCGATTACCGAAGTTTGGGGTGTTAAGTTATCTTCCAAGTTTGCATCGATGCCATAAAAAATCTCCCTCCTAAGAGAAAAATCGCCAATACAAAAGAAGTACAAGGCGTGGATCAACATCGTTGCGAATTAGGAATGTGACACGATACCCAACGCAGTGGGTTCAATTCCCATGAGAATACCTTGGTGGGCTCAATTCCCGCCCCGTCCCAACAATGCCAGCGTTATAGCTTTGCCCTTAACGGTTATGGGTTCAAATCCCATTAGTGGCGGAGTCAGGTTTTCTCGAACTTCCCTCTTTTTTTCTTTTATCTTTTAAGCGGAAGTTTAGCTTGGTATATTTCAATATTCAGGTATGCGCTTTATAATTATTTCTGCACTCTCTTTTATTGCTTAATTTTTTTTGAGGCGATATTAATATTGACTTCGGCTAAGGCCTTAGCGCCTCGCTTAAATCACAAAAAATCCCCCCCTAAATGCAGCCCTTAACCTCGCCTCGTATATCTCCGGATTAGTCCACAACGAATAGTTACTGCTTTTTGAAAACGCAATGCTATCGGAAATAGCATGGTCGTGAGAAAGCCAGTTCTCATTACCCAGTCGTGCTCTCAGACACCCAACGCCCTGTCGCGAGGCATCCTTGAGAAGGGAGGGAGCGCGGTCCAGCACAGGTAGGGGACCTCCACAACGCGTGCATGCAATACAACAATTCGTGCATTCTCAAGATTCAAAATGGAGAAAAAAAGTTGGTAAGCCATAGAGTTCTGCGATACTTTAAGATGCCAAATTAGTTTGCTCAGGCGCAATACCGCGCTCCAAATTGCTGCGCAGTGTGCCGTAATGGCTTTGTCACAAAAGACCGCAAGGATCACGCTCTCTTGAGAGCAAATCATACCTCCCCTGATTTTCCAGATCGATCCAAGTCTTCTCTTGTTAATCGTGCAGCACTCCACACTCCAAGGCGGCATGGAAGTGTTTTTGCTTCAGTTGTCCTGTATTCCTCGGCTTCTATGCATTTTTATGACCTGGTTTGTTTCGTCTTTTTTTAATCGCCACTCCATCACGACATATAGGAGTTAGTGGACCAGTGTGAAGTACAGAATTTCAGGCGCATGCTCAATCCCACGAGGTACGTGGAAGAACCGCGTCTTAAATCAAATGGGATATTCATCAAGATTGCCCGGGGAAAGAAGGACTAGGGGAGAATGACCTGAAGTTGGTTTCAAATTTCATCATCAGAAGGAATTATACCACCTGAATACTATCCTTGGGCAGATTGGGCTTTGACATTTACTACAAATACGTATCGCAACTTTTGCCCACGGCAGAGTACGAAAATCTACAGGTGCAATAAACGAAATTTCCCTTTAGCGTTGACATATAAATGTAATATAGCATCGTTATTGGAGAACCAACGACGATGACGCTGAGCGATTCATCCCTTCCCCGAAAGCCGGAAATCCGCGATGTGGACCCTTCTGTTCGAGGCATTCAAACACGATTGATATGCCTACTGCAAGCAGAGGTCAGGTTTGCAAAGATTGCAATCAGCTCGCATCAATCGTTTGTTAATATTTTATTAAAGCTTGGCATTGATATGGAAACGTGCATAAAGGTACAGAAGTAAACCGAGGTCGCGAGGCCGAAGATGCAGGAGTGACTTCCTGCTTGGAATTAGGAAAGAGGAAGAGGATAAGAGCGGAAGCTTGCCAGTTACATTCGATTCTGAAAGAATCTGCTCCTATTTGTGAGGACAGACATATCAATGAATGGTGTTAGAAGGAGAGATCATTGATTGTTTTCTTTAGCATACTTGTGTGCTATTGCAAACAACAGAAACAACACATGGAGACTTTGTTGCATAAAGCCCTCTCTCTTGCCCTTTTCTTTTGGCCAAGGTATGATTTCCTGCAATTACAGCCTGCCATTCTTCTATCCAAGATTCAACTTCATAACTAATACTATGTATTTATGTATCGAATGCCGGCCATTGTGGATTGATCAACTGGGTAGAAAGTGGGAATCTTCTGGTAGATAATGAAAGGGTTTACAGAATTCATTGGCAGCTAAACCGCTCTCACTGGCTCGGCGTTCTCAAGTATATTCTGGACTCCTAGACAGTGGTCTCTCTTTCAAGCACCCACAGAGTCACTTTAGTTGGAAGACAATGATTACTCGTTAGTTGCAATGGAGCGGCACCATGGACGCGATACTGAGCCGGTTATTGCGACATGGAACGGCACCGACTCGACCTTACAACTCGCCGCCTTTAGAAACCACTAAGAAGTGGAAATTCTTTGGCCTCACAGGAAGTATCTAGAGCAAACCCTCTTTGTAAAATCAACAACCTCAATCGATCTGTTCTCCAGTGTTCAGATCAACACCACCTGGTGTTGACCGACGAGCCAGCACGACACGATGAGTGAAACCTCGCTCTCCGACTATGATCCCAACGAATGGTCCCCTACTCAGCCTCCTATTCTATGCTGCGCCACAGTCCAGAAGATCGACACGTCTCCGAATTCAGCACCGCTTCACCTGCAACTCCAGCACCTCCACAACCAACTGTTCCAACAAAGAGGAAAGATCCCTACCTCTGACAATCTCGATCTCCCTCTGACACGCGACTTCTACAACTGGGGAGTAGTTCGCGTTTCCGTAACAGAAAATGGAACAAAGGAGACAAAGAAGAGATGGTTCGCTCCAACAGGTTCTGAGAACAATGGCTACTTTGTTTTGATCCCCAAACACAAAGTCTATACAGCACAACGGAAGAGGATCGTTGAGAAGAAGGAAGAGCCTGGAAGTACTTGCCAATTTGGACAATGTCCCAACCATTCAAGTGTTGGGTACGAAGCCACATGGTATGCTTTCATCAAGGAGAAGGATTCGGAGTCAAGGCTGGGAGGGACCGGAAACAGCAATGATGAGACAAGGTTCGAGGAACAGCCTGAACAATCAATCGACACACCTGAGGCAACGTTCGAGACCGAATCGGAAGAGGGAAGCATCGAACCACCTTCCCCAATCTCCTGCGGCGAGTCGGAACAACCAAGCTTTGCACCTCAGCCCTCGATATCCGACGCCCATCTTACACACCCAAGCGCTGCATCTCAGCCCTCTATATCCAATACCCATCCTTTGCAGTCATCCGGAGGCAACCCTTACCAGAGTCTACGGGACAAAGTCAAGACTGGCAAAGGACTGCCGTGCGACGACTGTGCACGAGTGAGAAGACCATGCTCCAGAAAAATGACACCAGGTGGAGGTCCAAAGTGCGACCGTTGCCAAAGAAGGAACATTCAATGCACTTGGAACACTGTTGGAAGTGGAAAGCGGGACAACCGAAGTAACAGGTGAGGGTTACTCAGTCGAGCTTCACGAGGATAATAGGGATGAGACACAGAGAATGAGATTGGACTGCTGCAGCTCAAGTCATAGTAATTTCACAACACCCAGTACCCTGTCAAACTCCTCCAAGTCCTCCTTGGTCTTCTGCAAAATCCTCCTCTTCGCCTCTTCCGTTGTGACTTCCCACTCCTGCAGCCCTTGTGCAATCTGAGCTTCCCGCATCGCTCTCTTTGATTTCTTGCCTCTTGCCTTCTGAACCTGTTCATACATTCCTCTCCCACTATATCCAGCCAAGCCTAACGCCCCTGAGTATTTGTCAGTAGCGGTACTTCAATTGAATCCAGCGATTCTACCTGCTGCAGGTTTGAACGCAAGGCCAGCAACACCCTTTCCAAAACCTTTCATGCTTCCTAGAACCCCGGTCTCCTGGGCGCCTTTGACTGGCTGCATAACGAGTCCAGAGACGCCGTCCCAGCATCCGAGACCGAATTCCTGCTCATGTTAACATGCAATCACCAAGACACACCATGAAACAAGGAAGTAAACATGCCTTTCCAGCAGCCTTAAACCCACTTCCCGCACCAGTAATTGGGTCCAAATTCCTTACCATGCGGTCGCCATATAACTTCGGCAGATTATGGAAACCTCTAGCCATGTTGTACGTGATATCGACCGGGGCTTTGAGTCCCGCTCCTACGATTCCCGTAACTCCTTTCTCCGGATCACGGGCGAATTTGGTGGCTTCATCGCTAGCGTTTGAGCCAGCTGGTGGGTTGAAGACAGTGGAGAGTATGAGAGGGTAGTCAGCTACGCGGAGACAGACGGTGCCTACGGTGCCGAAGACCGCGGAGATGGCGCCCGTGATGGGGTCGACGGGGCCTTGGTCGTTGAGTTTTGTTGTTGATTTGTATCTGGCGAAGTTAGTTAGTTGATCATCGGAGGACAGCGAAGAGAGCTTACAGCCTGAGGTCCTTGTACTCTAATATCCCTGCTTTCACCAAGACCGTGGCTTCCAGAGCGCTGAGTGTTATTGTAGTACGTTTGATTTGCCAGACGTGAGGACGTTTTGGACCAGTAATAGCCTCTGAAACGCTTAGAGACCTCACTGTCACTTGGTGCGGTGTTCCGTTTTCGTCAATGCCAGCTGACGTCACTGATTCTTCATAAGTAGGTGGATGACTAATCTCTGGTTCTGGGAGATTTTCAAGTGTGGTGAGACTCTTGGCATCGACTTGATGCCTCCCGAAGTAATTGGGGCTATCATCGCCCAATCCTTCTTCCGCAATAACTCCTTGACGATTGCGACCAACTTCGATCCTTCGAAAAATGGGATGCGTCAGAGACGAATCCGGGAGTTCCGGAGCAGATTTCTCCACCAACATCTCGATGCTGGCTCTCTGGTGAAGCACGCCGAGTTTTCCAAAGGGTCAAGATTGAAGTCAATATCAATTAAGTAAAGGTAGAAAAACTAGAAAGCACGAGAGCCGAAGCTTCGAGAAAGACCCACAGCAGCCACCTCACCATAACTATATCTTCGGTCTTTGTGGGATCGAATACGTAGCTTACGTTACACCCGTACACGCGTCCGCCAACGCCAGGGCTGCGGCTTCAACGATTTAAACGAATTAAGATGCAACGGGATGAGAGAGGAGGCTGTGCTGGCTCAGTCATCACGGAGTGAAGTTGAAGCGACTCCTATCGAATTGTCATGATTGGACCATTCGTACGTACGTGTCACGTGGCACCGTGCTCGACCCCACGACTTGGCATGCACGGAATATGCAATATATGAGACATTTGACATTCTGGGCATTTCAAGGATTTGTTGAACGAAAAATCAGGCAGCAGCGGAAATGTGGTATGCAGCCCTGTCATTGGATGGATTCAGCCATGTTCGTTTGAGGTAATACCGTAGGGGTAAACTCTCAACACTTCAAAAATTCATGCTTTATGGAGATGAAATGATGGTAGAGTAACCTGATGAGATGAAACTCCATAAGTATGTTTCAATTGTGCCTTTGGGATATCCAATGAATTTGCGTGTAGCGTGGTTGAAGTGTTCTGAGCCAAAGTGCCATCAAGCGAAAAGCAGAAGACGCAAAGCCTGTCGCATTTTAGGCTGCCACGCTCGGCATCATCCTCGGCAGCACTTGTAAGCAGCGACTTAGTTCCTGCTGCTAGAGGAGTATTGGGCTGGTTGACAATTTCCGTGGTCCAAGCTGGTTGCAGGAGTCGTGGTTTTACAGGCAATACGAAGACAACGGCATAAAGTATCGGGAATACAGGGCATTATTTTATGAAGGCCACTAAATACCCTGTAAGGTCTTACTTTAATCTCCCTATAGCTAGTCCTAGTCCCCTGTAAGCCCCTATAAGCTTACTAAAAGTGCCCTGAAGGCTTAATATGGGCTTATATAGCTTGACAGGTACTAAACGCCCCCAAACGCCCATAAATATAGGCGAGTTCACTAATTAGTAGCGAGTAAAGGGGGGTGTAATTAGCCCTAATATATATCTCTCCATATATACTTCGTTCTGAATTCTAATTCTAATTAATTAGAAAAACACTTGATATCTTTCGCTTTACTTTAGCTATTATTATAGCTACTTTTAGAGGTTTATTTGATTTTTCTGATTTATTAGATAGCTAATTAGAGCTCTCCTCTTCTCCTAATTCCTTAGATAACGAATACTCTAATAAGTATACTAAAGATAAAGAGAATATAGAGTATAATTTACTATTAGATTCGGATAATTCAAATAATAATTTAGCTAAACTAGCCCTTCTATTACCCGCTTTATTAACTACTTTTATACTTGCTACTCTTGGGCCTAAAGAGTATTTTACTAGTACTAGAATTAAGGCTATTTTCATACTTAAGGATAAGAAGTCTTTGAAATAAATTAGAGAAGCTATAAAAGTATCCAGATTAGCTATTTATTAACTTATAGCTATAGCTAGGGAATAAGAATATGCCTTTAGAAATCTCGTATATATTTAATATACCAAGATCTGATTAATCTATAATTTCTTTTAAGGTAATTAAGTATATTTTGAAAATTATTCTCTAAAATTCTATTATAAGAAGCTTGTTTTATATTATAATTACAAAAGAGATAAAGAAAAGGGATTATAAGGTTATACCCAGAATTATATAAAAGGTTCTTACTTATATAGGCTACTTTTAGTATAAACTAATAGTTAAGCCTGGCTTAAATACCCTTAGTAAAGAGGAAAAATTAGCCTAATACTTGAAATAAGAATATTAGATATTTAATAATTAGAAAAATATAATTTTTATAAATAAGACTACTATTTAATTAGGAGATATAAGAAGAAAGAGACATATATAGAGATTACCTAAAGAAGCATATAATAAGTATTATATATAAAGAAAATAGAAAGAATTTTCTGAGTTTATATTTTAGGAGTCTTTTTCTTATAATAAAAAAGGGCCTTATTATATATAGGAAAAGAAGACTCTATAAGAGAAAAGAAATTATAAAGCTAATTTTAATACGGGAAACTTATTAATTAAAAAGGCTAATAAATAGAAATGAGAAAAAAAGTAAAGAAAATAGCTAAGGGAATAGAAGAAGGCTTATAGAAAGGCCTCTAGAGAAATATAAAAGATATAGAAATATAATAAGAAGACTAGTACTTATATTATAAAGAATAGACGAAAAGGAATTAATTAGTATTAATACTAGAAAAAGATCTTAATTAAGAAGCTCTTACTATTTATAAGAAAATACTAAAAGAATAGCCCTAATACTCTTATATAAGAGAATAATATAGGATCTTATAAATTATATTACTAGGGAGAGATTTATAATTTATAGAAAATTATGAAAATACTTTGGCCAGGAAACTTACCTGATCTTAATATAATTAAGAAAGCCTGGTTCTGGATAAAAAAGGAAACTACTAAGCGGGGACCTACTAGTAATAGGAAGAAGCTAAGAATGAGGTGAGAGAAATACTGGGAAAATCTTTCCTAGAGCAAGATTTAAGAGTGAATTATAGTAATTCCTGATTACGTAAAGGAGATAATATATTTGGAAGGGGGAAATGAGTATAAAGAAGGGAGAAAGAACGGTTAAGAGAAGGTAGCTATATATTAGATAGTTATTTAGATAGACAAAATCGAACTAATTAAAAAATAATCGAAATTAGAGGTTTAGCGAGGTAAGCCACATTTCAGGGGACCCTTATAGGGCTTACAGGGGACTAGGACTAGCTATAGGGAGATTAAAGTAAGACCTTACAGGGTATTTAGTGGCCTTCATAAAATAATGCCCTGTATTCCCGATACTTTATGCCGTTGTCTTCGTAGTTCGTTGAGGTTCAAGTCACTAATTAGAGAAAGCCACTACGAAGGGAGCGGTGGCACCTGGAATGTATCTCCAAGCCTTCTAGTATAGGTGCACGACTCATCTATGTAGGGGAAGTAATTATATAATATCTCTCTTTGTTCGGGGGCTGTTCCTCGGTCTCTCCTAATGCCCGCTTGGCTGCCAGTGGAACGAACGTACTGCTATTAGCAATAACCGTTGCCTCGACTCTCTTCAAAATGACCTGACATCACACAAGGCCTCTCGGAGCCCGCTATCATTAGGAATTAGTGAGGCGGCAGAGGTGTTTCTGGTGTCTTTATTTGGGGTTGGTGGCTCTCCCCGCCCTTTGGCTATTGTCCTGTCGCCCTCTATAGGCGTGGACATGATGCGACGACTGCCGAATGCCGCACACTTGAGTGCTCCGTCCCACTCTGGATTTGAACTTCGAATAGTTTTTGTCAGAGTCCCGTTGTTCGACAGTCCTAGTTGGCGTTGTGGGCAAGGAGGGCGATTTGCAAGGCGAAAAGCAAAGTTGGGATGTCCGGCTGTTCAACTGTGCTGTTGACGTGACCTCTGAATCTCTGATTGGTAAGTGTAACAAAGCGCTCAAGCCACGAATATGCAGTTGATCAGGGAATCGAGCCAATGCCACCGCATCTTAAAACTCGATGATTGCTTCTTTGCAATTGTCTCCTTTAGAAGGAAGGAACAATGCATTCAAACTTCTGAAAGAAAAGAAGCTCGGCTAGATAGAATCCAGAACAATCGATAAATAATAATTTATTAGAGCTATAAGATACCGATCGCATAATGTCTCTCAGCGCTCTAATTATTCAACCTCAAAAAGTCCTACACATCTGAATTTGAAGTATTTCCCAAGGGAAATCTTGATTCCTCACAAAATGCAGAACTCAAGACGAACTTCTGGTGAGCTGAACAGTAAGGACGAGGAGCTTTGGAATGCCTGGCTTTCTTCGAATGTTCGAGCGCGAGATACCAATTCTCTGTTGGCAGACGGCTGTTCGCGAGAAGGGGCCAGCACACAGGCGGATTTCGACTTCAGAGTTAACACTCAAAGATTGGGAGAGCGACAAACTTCCCCAGAAGACGAGATAGAAATGTTCGAGCTCAATAACTATGAGATGAAGCTCTGGAGCTTGTGGAGCACATCTAACACTCGAACAAACCACATCACATTCTTGATAATCATCGGATTCTCTCCTGAAGTTGCCATCGGACAAGCGAATCCCGGCTTCAAAGCTCACTATTCCGGATTTGGCGATGCTCCACAAGACGAGATTGTAGCCTTAGAGCGACACAGCTGTGAAAAAATGCTCAAGAGTACATGGAAGTCCTCGAAAGTTCGTGAAAAGCACATCAAATACCTTCTAGCTAACAAGTTTACCGCCGGCGGAGCTATTAGACAGGCCGATATCGATTTTGACGACCATGTTCAGGTGCTAGTCAAGATAGACATTTCACCCGAGGCCAAAATCGGGGTCTTTGAATAATACTTCGACTCGAATTTTGGCGCCTCTGCTGGAGGCTACGAACTAGAGAAATCCAATGCTATCAACGCAAGAAAGCGGGACAACCTCTGGAGACATCTGTGCGACCAGGCTGGATTAGACCCCGAAGATGCCATTGGAGAATTCGACGAACAACCAACTCCAAGGACGAGCTGCGCGCTGTTGTGGCTTTCCTGTCTGACTTAAAAAATTGGGTTAAAGTAACTAGAGTGCCTGATAATGTGGTGGGGCTGCTATGCAAGGCTTCTAGGCATGCGTGGGTCTCCTAAAAGTAGCCCGACTTTATAAGATCATTGCTTCCCTTTGTCTTCTGACTCGAATTAAAGAAAGTTCTTTTTAGAATAACAAACAAGTGAAACAAAAGCCTTCTAAGTAGTGATGAGAACTATTACTATAACTTTGTAGTTGCGCATATGCGATATAATTACAACTCGAGTGCGTTAATTAAGGGGGCATTTATTTCGCGATCTAGTAAGCGAGGTGCTAAGGCGTTAATGTCAGCAAAAGTGAAGAAGCTAAGCGAGGCCAAAATAAACTTGGAAGCCACCAAAAAAAATAAAAATAAAAATAAAAACTCCCAAGAGCATTTCACGTCAACTGGAGGCAGTGCAATACCAGTGACACTACTTTGCTATAGTGGTAAGCTAGTCATTCTCCTCATCTAGCCCGGACACTCCACCACGACACGTCGCATATATTCACCAAACTTTACGGAGTGGCTCTGGCAAGATTCATACCGGAGTGTAGCATCGTCGGAGAACAACCTAACTTACAACCCCCGAGTACCCACGAATTTGGCCGAAGAGTTCTTCATTGAATATATGACCCTCAAAACTCCCGACGCATGCCGATATCTCGCCGCTCATGTGGCCGCTCGCAGCGCAATTCACTTTTGCTTCAAACTCTTTATACACAGCACGCGAATATATAGAGAACTATTGTTAAAAATCCTCCAACCATTTCTGTGATATATATTTAAACAGCACGGCACATGTAACAGTAGCTGTGCGCCAACCGCATCCGCGAGACTTTACACAAGGTGCCTCGGAACTCTCTTGAAGCGATCCAACCAGACAACGACTCCATTATTAGTCTCTAGCCATGGCCCTTCCTCCTTTGCTCTACTACCCGGCGTATGAATTTTCTACTGGAACATTGAACTTCATTGTGTTTTGGTCACAGGGACAATGTGGAACTGCTGTGGGCATACGCAGAAAAGATCTTCCTGTGAGGTGGACAATACCCGAAGGAGCGAAGAAAGCAGCCAGACATAACATATCAAATATCTTGCCCGAAGGCGCTCACCCTCGCCCTCTCCTCCTTTAACTCCCTCCCCCTCTCTAACCAATCCCCATCCAACGAGCCCCCAACTGCCTCCTTCCCCTCCACCTCCTCTCTCCTCTTCACAACCCTTTTGTACAACGGCGCGAGATTCTCTCTCATCTTCGATCGCTTCCGGACTTGCTTTAGATGGTAAGTGCCCTATCCGACCAACAAACGGGATTGTAAGACTGACCCATGCCCGGGTTCTCCGCCATCCACTTCTCCTCCTCCTTCTTCTTCGCCTTGCTCTCCTCTTTCTCTTCCTTCTTCTTCTCCCGCCTCGCCTTTATCTTAGCTCGCTGCTCGAGTGTGAGGTCGTGCTAAAAGGCTATGTTAGCCATGATTCATTACAGAGATCGAACCGAAAGCGTCAGAGAGGTATCGGAGCCCACACTGAGGAGGACCCAACAACAACGGCAGTCGAAGAGCTTACATTGAAATTATCCATTTTTGTGGCTGATTAATTGAAGGTGTGATCTGCTGCTTGAATATCAAATACATACTCACAGATACTGCGACCGTACGCCAGCAGCTCTGATTCGGGCGGTTGGGGACCTACTGTTAAGGTATGAGGAGCTTAATGGAGAGAATGAAAGGACCGTGAGGGACGAAATTATTTACATCCCGATTTCTGTCAACCTTGCGCGCTTGCTTGCCGTATAGCTCAGCCTTGCCGTTGAAATGAATATTCACATCACTCAAGCTCTACTCTCTAGGGCCCTGTGTTGCAACCCTTGAATATTTGGACTACTACCGATTTCGTAATACTAGTATTCGGATATTATAATTAAAAGTGTCGCAATTTTTCTTTTTTGAATACTAGCAATAAACGCTAGCATTTAGCTACTAGTATTTGCTCTCATACTAAGCATTTGAATACTAGCTTTTACTTCTTTTATCCCTTCGTCCGGCGAGACATAGTCCACGCTAGCGAGGGGGGTGTGGCGCACGCAAGCCTCACCTCGCTTTATTATGCTTCAAGAGACTTGCGTGTAGCCACACCCCCCTCGCTAGCGTGGACTATGTCTCGCCGGACGAAGGGATAAGCTTTTCTAGAAAACAAACTCTTTAAAAGCTTTATATTTTGCAATTTTCCTAGAATATTACTAATATTAATTTATTTAATAATAAGTAATATAAGCCGAATTTTTTTGTTAATTACTTTTCCATTTAATAATAAAATAGATCTAGGCTTTAAGATCTTATAATTATAAGAAGTAATTACTAATTATTAAATAAAAAGAAGTGAGATATTAAAGAAGCTAAAAATAAAAGCTAAACCCTTTGTAATTACAATAATTATTAAGTATTTGTATCTTGCGAAACACTTTTAATTTATTAAATACTAGCTTTGAATATTGAGTATTAGACGCTAGTATTTGGGTGCTGCTAATCGCCAGCAATCAACTTAGGCGAGTCTGTGCGAAACAAGACCTAAGTGGGGCGGTCTCAAACTCGCGGTGTCCCCCTGGAGGAGGAAGAGCAACGATAACACAAGTGCAACAAAATTGTCAGTGGTCCGATGAATGTAGAAGCAGAGATAGTAGATGCCGAAAATATTTTCCGGTCTCCGGGAAGTAGGGGAGAAGTAATTGCAGATGCGGAAACTTAAAACCAAGGTTGGGTGCAAAGAAAGGTTCTGGTATGACAACTGTCAAGTTCAGTGAGAGTTTAGGACGGCAGTTCGAGAGCTTTAAGCTACTTTCTCTTCCAATAACGTTATATTCCAGGATTATTATGCAGATGTAGTGTAAGATTGGAACGTGGGAGTATAATTCTCGGTACTGGCACACAATCGAACAAATGTTCGCTGGAACAACTAACATTCGACAAGTGCGTTGTTATCTGGACCTTCTAGCCGTACGAATATACCAATGGATTCCGATGTCTCCATGATACTGACCCCCATTGATCCTCGCGATATGGAACAATGTGTGTGCGACCACGGACAGCCATCCCGTCTTCAATCAAGGTTTGAGTAAGAGCCTTGCAAAGCTGAACCTCTTTACTGACAACTAAGCAGTACGCCGAAAAATATTATGAGTTTTACATGCAATATCTCCAAGAGCCCTACAACTTCCCGCACATCACAACAAAGCCATCCCTCCCGCCATCGAGAACAAAATCACCACCCCAACCGTTAAAGCCCGGAAATCGAAAGTCGGGGCTCTCGCACCCTCGCTCTTCTTGCTACTCGAGGTCGCAGTCTCGGTCACTGTCCCACTCCCCGCGCTCGCTGTCCCCGTACTCTCTGTGCTTGAATTGCCCGAGTTCTGACTCCCTGCACCACTCAAACCAGGTCCCGCCCCAGCACCAGCACTTATATATACTTCAGCAGCAGCCGGGATAGCAGGCAGGTCATCGTTCGCAACATCCCACTCCGAGCTTTTGGTTGGGCAAGTAGTCGATGCAGAAGTTGAGCTGGCTCCTCCGTTTCCAGTCGGGTTGGCTTGGGCGGAGTAGGCGGATTGCAAGGCAGTGAAGTCTGAGTTAGGCGTCACGGTGTCCCCAGAGATGGTCACGAGACCGTAGCCGTTGCCTTCTTGGGAATATTCGTACACCAGACCGCCGGAGAAGACTCCAGTCATTTCCGTGTTGTAGAGCGCGGCGACTTCTTCGAAAGTGCGGGTGTTGGTTATGCAGCCGTATTCGGACATGCTTTTCCTATTAGCTTTCGTTAGGTGCGTTGGAAGATGGGGAGACTTACAAGAGAGGAATTCCATAGCCCGTGTAGTTCTTCACTAAAGTGTCCCAGCCTGAGGTGGTGAAAGAGGAGGGATCACACCATGAGTAGTCATTGATGGCATAGAAGTCGCTGCGTTGATCGGTCGTTCCACAATTCATGTAATCTGCCATCAATTCCTGGTTCTCTGCCACGTCTGCCGCGGAATACCCAACTGGGATGGAACGATAACCCCTGCTTCCAATATACTGCTTCATGTCCCGAGTGACGGCTTTTACGTATGGCGCGCAATTGGTGTTCGCGGCACTGTTGATAACCTCATTGCCCGATAGGAACGCGAGCGTGTTGGAGTAGTTGGCAAACGCATCGATAGTGGCGAATACACTTTGGAGATAGACGCTGTTGTATGATTCGGAGGGGTCCTCTCGGTTGAGAGAGTATTTCGAGGTATCAGTGTCGAGGACGAGGTAGATTCCAGCAGCAGCGAGTGCGTTCATACACGTGTCGTGATTCTTGGAGTTGTCGACGGCATACACCCGGATTGTGTTGATGCCCAGCTTGGTGAAGTATGGAATGTCTCTCTCGCAAGCGGTCAAATTTGAAATTGGGTCCGATTCAACACCAGTTCCTCCACCTGTGATTCTGAATATTAGCGACGATATCTGGCTTGCGGTTCTGAAGTGTTTCCGCACCTGGTTGATAATCCACGCCTCGAATATAGAATCGGTCTGAGCCTTTATAAAATGCTGCGGCAAATTAGTCAAAAACAAGTCAATCGTAGTTGTATCGCGAACCATTTCCCGTAATTGTAATTGGGGTGACCGTCGTTGAGGCTCGAGGAATCAGGACTGGTGTCCCCTCCGCCGCAACACACGCTGCAGAAAATGCCAGTGCCAGAATACCAGTCGCAACTTTTTGTCTCATCGTGAAGAAATCCAGAAGATGAAAATAAGAATTGGATGAAAGCCAATGACCGAAAACGAGCGTAAAGAATAAAGGCTTCAAGTTCAGCCTCGTGAGAAAAGGAAGGTTGGAACGAAAGGGGCCAAGCAAGAACCGAGTGTCTTGGCAAAAGATTGGCAAAAATGTTTGAATGGAAGCGAGGATCCCCTGGGAAGGGAACATATTAAAGCGGCTTCTAAATTTGGAATCATCTCGTGTTGCGAATGTGTTTCGAAGCATTACGCGTCAGGGCCACCAAAGATCCGCTTGCGTTGTGTTAGTGGAGTTTCTAAGAAGGAGCTCGTACAACCCCCTGCCGGGCCAAATCAATAAGCGAGCATGTGAAAGAGGGGGGTGGGAGGCATTCTGTCAATATCAATGCTAGAATTGTGTCTTCGCAGCAGCTCTTTCCTCCAAAACGAACTGCATGTCTTGCTGCTGATCAGTTATTCTCTGTTCACCTCATAATCGATCGTCTACCAGTTTGGTCAATTTCATGCTCTGGTGTGGATACGCGCATTGCGAAAACATTTTTTTCTCCGAAAAAGAACTTTATTTCCAGTGCTCGCTTTTTAAAATTAAGACTGAAGCTTGGAAGTTTGCTTTCCCATCGCTCGAGTCCACGGAAGCGGAGATAAATATGAAGTCCCGGCCAAGGCGCTCCACCGGCTGTGCTGGTTTCATCTCCTGCCTTAGCTCTCGTTGAGAGCCGCTTTGTGCTTTGTGGAGTACTGGACGATAACAACAGGCCCCGCGGTTTTTTAGATTTTGGAACACCTGCAAACTGGGAAACTTTCATGGTAGTTGAACTCTTAACCTTCAATCTTCGTTCCACAGTCGGTTGGTAAGCTTGCCGCTCTTGCTTAGGCACCCTCGGCTCACCCTCGGCTCAGCCAGCTCATCTACGTAACCTGAGCAGCTTGAGCAGTCCCTGAGCAGTCCCTGAGCAGCCCCAGAGTAGTACCCACTCAACTAACGAGGCTAGATTTTAGCTTAAAACATATCCTGTCATTTTTGTCAAGTTTTGGCAATTCTTTCGAGAAGCCTAAATAAACTCTTAGGTTCCCAAAATAAGGCTTTTATAAAAATAAACTATATTATATTATAAGCTATTACTTATAATAACTAAATTGTTTTAAAAAGAGAAATATTTATTAATATTTATTATAAATCTTATTTTTATTATTATTTTTAACTTAAATTTCTATTTTTTAAATATAATTATTAAATTTTTTTAAATTTTTATTATTTAATTTTTTTGTAATATTAAAAGCTATATTAATAAAAAAGTATTATTATAATATTTAGTTTAAGAAGCTTAATATATAACTAGCTAATAATATATAACTAGCTAATAATATGTATTATATATATTATATAATATTTTATTATAATAATTTTTTGACATTTAAATTTTTTAAAAAAAATATTAATATTAATTATTTATAAAGAAATATTATAAGTATATTTTAACTTTATTAATTATAAATAATTAATTTATTTATATAATACAAATATTATAATTAAAAAATAAAATAGTTTAATTATTTAATAATAATATTAAATTTAAAAGTTTTTTTTAATTATTTTTAATATTTAATTTTAAAAATTATATTAAAATAAATAATATTTATTTTATAAAAATATTATAATTAATATAATATATAATATTAATAAAGATTAAACTAAAACTAGCTAAATGTATAATATTAAAATTATATATTATAACTTTATTAAACTAATATATAGACTTATATATAGCTTGTAATTATTTAGATTTAAGGCTTTTTCGAGATTTTTTTTTTAGTTTTAAATTATTAAAATAAAAATAATTTATATTTAGGATTTAAAAAATAAAATAAAAAGTCTTTTATAAAAACAATTTAAAGCTAAGAAAGAAAAAACTAGAATATAAGAAGCTATAAGAAAATATATATATTTTATAATATACTAATTTCTAAAAAACTTGACTTTTTAAATATCTTAAATATAATTCAAATATATTTCTTTAATAAAATAATTATATTATATATATCTGGAAAGTAATAGAATATAAATAATAAAATATAAATAATTATATTAAATAATTATATTAGCTAATAAGAATAAAAGTTAAATTATAATTTTATTTTTATTTTTAAAATAAACTTGTTTTTAAGCTTTATAAAAGCTATTAATTTATTTAATTTCGTATTATTTTCTATTTTAGAATAAATTAATATATTAAATACAAATATTATATATAAAAAACAAATATTTTTAATATATAATTTAAAAGAAATTATTATTATTTTTATATAGTTTAGCTAATATTATAGGTTTTATAAAGATTTTAATATATTAATATTATTATTATAGAAGTTTTATAAAACTAGAGAATTATTATTTAATATTAAAACTAGATATTATACTAGATTCTATATTTTAATTTATTTAATATTATATTTTTATTTAATATTATATTTTTATTTAATATTATATTTTTATTTAATATTATATTTTTATTTAATATTATATTTTTAT